TGCGCATGACGGTCTTGAGGAGCTGCTTGCCAACGAGATCCTTCTCGCTCATAGGTGAGCTTGATCTCCAGCTTCTCGAGGAGAGTGGCGATCTCCTCCTTCTTGTCGTTGTTGACAGCGTTGAAGATCTTGAAGATGGGGTCCAGGATGAACTGGTTGAAGGCACGCTCAAGGGGCTTGCCATCAGCCTCACCAGTCTTGGACCACTTCTTGGTCTTGGGGTTGAAGTAGTTGTCACCCCAGAGACGCTCAAGCATCTTCTTGCGGTCAACACCGAACTTCTTGGCGTACTTGACGGCGAACTGGCGGACAGTGAAAGCCCAGCCGTGGAGACCGGAACCGAAAGCAACGGTACCACGGTCGGGGTAGACCTGGCAGTCACCAAGGACCTTGTCGAAGTAGGTAGCGATGATGACGTTGACGGACTCAATGGTACGGGAGAAGGACTGGTAGAGGTCCTCCTTGGAGACCTGAAGCTCCAGAAGAGCACGGTCAACCTTGTTGATGATCAGGACGGGCTTGATACGCTCGGTCAGGGCCTGACGCAGCACGGTCTCGGTCTGGACACAGACACCGGGAGACACAGTCGACGACGACCAGGGCACCGTCAGTGACACGGAGAGCAGCAGTGACCTCAGAGGAGAAGTCAACGTGACCGGGAGAATCGATCAGGTTGATCAGGAACTCAGAGCCATCGACCTTCTGGGGAATCTCCTTGAGATCCTCCTCATCGGGAAACTGAGCATACAGGGAGATGGCGGTGGACTTGATGGTAATGCAACGGTCCTGCTCGTCAGGACGGGTGTCCATGAAACGAGTCTCACCAGCCTTGGCAGCCGAAATGATACCGGCACGCTGCACGAGGGAGTCGGAGAGGGTGGACTTTCCGTGATCGACTATTGGCAGAGTCAGTTACCATCCAAGGATCTTCCACCCACACGAAGATTAACATACCGTGAGCAATGACCGACATGTTACGGATGTTGGCCTGGCGGTCCATGAGGGACCGGATCTAGAAGATTGTGTTAGTATCATGGGCTCCTTCTCGAATCTCCTTCCTGTTCTGGCGTGAAGCCATTGTGTGGATTTCGAGTCCAGTGCGGGGTGTGACGACGAACCTCCTCGATAGTGAAGCTATAAAATGCATGGTTAGTCTCCTTGTCTGATAGTTCTTCTGATGATCCGAGGGCATCCGAAGACAAGAATGGGCGACAAGTTGATGGTAGACTTACTTGACCATTTTGGCGGTTTTTTTCTGTCAACGGCCTTAGAGGCGGGGTTGTGTGATCAGAAAAAGAAAAGAGAAAAAGAGAAACGACACAAAGGAACAGGATCGAGGACTAGCTCGACCTCTGATGAATAGGACAGAAAGACCTATGTGCGCTGCTCCTGAAGAAGGGGGAGGATGAGGGCTTCACGGTGGAAGGTGAAGAGAGGAAGAGAAGGAAGAGGAGGAGAAGAGGTTTTGGAGGAGGAAGAGGGGAAGGCAGCGAAAGTGTAAGAGAGGTGGGGACTCTTTTTTTTTTTTCTTACCTCTTTTTTTCTGCTGGGATTTTTCCCGATTTCAAATCTGGGATGTGCGTATTTTTGGGTTTCCCGCTTGTGCCCCTCGTTTTATTACACGCAACCGATGCAATCATCGCGCTCATCTTGAATGACAGTCCTCAATAAAGAGAATTCCATGAATGCTCATCAGTATACAGCAGACAAAAGGCACATTCAATGGTCAATCTCTGACTTGAGCCCTTCTCTGTGACACAATCCCTCGCATATACTTCTGGATTGGACATCAATATGCTTCCAGAGGCCGACGGACAGCGGCAGAAACCCTGCCTATCCTGCTACCCCTCCAACCATGGGTGGCAATCTCCATGGCTCATACTCTGACTCACAGCACATTCTACCCAAGACTTCAGCTTCTTCAGACTTTTTAGAAGCCTATGACCACTGACAATGTGTGAGTCCATCGCCATCTGGACGTGTAGTTTGCACATTGAAGGCGATGGTGCTGTATGGACAGTACAGAATAAATTACCGATACCCCGCTAAAACCGCACGAGGGCAAAAAAAAACCAAAGAGGAGCCGTTAGCTGTGCGTTCTCCACCAATCCGAGCCCGGAATCAGCAGCCCCTCTGTGCTCACCGCCTACTGACTGGCGGAGTTAACGACAATAGACTGGGAGCTTCGTCCGAATGATTCCCAATTCATACCTAGGGAGTCCTATCCTGTATCATGATCATTATTCGGAAGACTGGGTCGGGCAGCAGCTGATTAATGTTCATACTGGGTAAGTTACCGAGTAAAGGTCATACCACCGTGGATTATTAATTCATCTTCCGACATCTTACATCATCTTCTCTCATTAACTAGTTAGGGCTTTTTTTTGAAAGACAACATAATCTTCGGTCTATATATGCATTAGGAATAAGTAGGTATAGTCATTATCAGACTGAATCAACAATATATACATAGAATGGAGAATACACCACGATCTCCAGTGCATCAAGCCCCCCCATCTTCCCGGAATGCATGCAGGCGCGCCTCCTCCTAAGACGACCCCAGGATCTTTGCATACGCATCCTCCACCTCCGTGGCAATCTCCAACAAAGTCACAATGATAATCTGATGCGTCACGTTCGGCAACTTGTCCCGTTGTAGTCCAATCCATTCAAGCGGTGGCGTGGCCTCTCCCATATCACGCAATTGAGGCGTCTCGATTACCGGCGGCTCCAGCGCAACGTAGGTGTATTTGGACTGCGGCACGTTCACCACCGCCGTGATCTTCTCCTGTGGCTCACTCTTATCGCCACCACCTTCGTTCAGCCCGCCTGTGATGCGTACCGCTGACGGAGGCAGCGGTTTGCCCAACCGCGATGCCATCGCCCGCGAATGTGTCTCCCACATGTCGCGAATGAAGCTGATCCGGGAATAGTTCCATCCCACGTCCACTTTACCCTCAAACGTACTCCGGAATAGGTAGTCAATCTGCCGAGAGCCAGGAGTTTGCCAGGTCTCCATGCCCGCCACCAGTCGGGGAACTTTGAGGATGGTTCCTCCGGTAGATCCCAGCACACGATTGGCAATCTCTCCAACCAGAAGTTCCTCGATGTCCATCCGGTGCGGCCGCACAATGCTGGATAAGGCTACCCGGAGCTGGCCTAGCGTAAGCCCAAGCGCACTATGAATCTTGCCTTCGTCCAGCGTGACATCGAATCGTGCCTGCGCCTCATTCGCCTCGATCTTGAACACGTGGTTGTCGAAGAAGGAGCTTGGAAAGACCCCGATGTTGACGGAATTGATAGTCACAACCACTCCCGTATGGAGGGAGATGGGCGCTTTTTCCGTCTCATCCTCATCCTTTGAAGCCCTGTCTTTCACGGTGACATCTGTCTTGTCGAACACAGAGGTTCTGCGGCGTAGGTATCGTTCGACCTCCCGCAAAGAAGCTTCATACGCGGCCTGCTTGTCTTGGGCCAACCGTTTCCAGGCCTGATACAACGCGATGGACTGTGATCCTGTCAAACTCGTACAGAACACCTGTACCTGGTCCCCTTCCAAAATACTGAAGAGTCGTTCGGCTCCCGACGCGTTTCGAACATTGTACATCAGGAAGTCAAACATCGAGATATGTGCAATGAGGAAAGGTTGATAGTCGAAAGAAACCTTCACTTGGAATTGGTCGAACGAGATCGAGGCTTGGATCAGCGGCGTTTTGTTGTTTGAAGTGTCGTCGGGCCATTTAATGGAGGTCTGCACTTTAAGCGCCCGAAGTTCAACCAACCCACTCATGCGGCCTTTACTCTCGATTCCCGCTGTTCTAAATCCGATGCAAAGCGTTTGTTCCCAGTCCGATGATTTCTTCGACGACAGCCACAGATCATGGATACTGAACACGGCTTTTCCGAGGGTAGACCCTAAATCAAGTTGGATTTCCAAGCGCTCAATGGCAATAGCCGAGTTCCAAGGGAAGGCAGGCGCAGACGCCACTTGCTGGTATCGCTGCACCATATACGGCTGCGCTTCTGTTGACTGAGGCTGGAAGGCAGGGCCAGAATCGACGTCATCGCTCGAGGGCACCCAAATCTCTCGGAAGAGCAAAAGGTCCTGGACTTGTTTGGCATTGAGGACCACCTGCATTGGACTTACTCGAAGAGCGGCTGAAATGCCCTTGGACTGGCTCAAATGCTTGCTGTTTATGAGAGACATGACCACCGAGCTGACCTCGAAGCTGGCCGTGGACTCGTTGGAGTAGACATGCTTCACCGACGCTTGAAAAGAGTTGAAAGACACCAAGAGTGCGAAGAAGCGTCCTTGGTCATCCGAAACCGTGTTGACTGTCACATATGCGCTGTCGAATTTCGCTGTAGCTGCCACTCTTGCAATAGGTTGACAGCTAAGACTGAATTCTTGTTTGCAAATCAACAGGCCAATATTCAGCTTGCACCGTCCAAGAATGGAGTCCGTATCTTTCTTGTCGAGAGAGGATTGAGGCATCAGTTTTTGAGATTGTAGCATCATTGTAGTAGATGGCCGTCTGGGCTTTTCCTGGTCCCCTAGAACTTCCTTTACGGTCGACGTCATCTGCTTGACTAAAGGCACCAAGCTTGGATAGAGAACATTTGTCGAGGCGTCGACCTTCAACTCCGCGTTGAGGGCCGGATCATCTTGCCTATTGTCTTCATACTGGACTTTCACTGCGACACCGGGCGCCCGCAGCGTTGCGGTCGCCACCGTATCCCCATGGACATACTGGCCATATTTCGCGTCTGAGGGCCTACTGCCCTTCAGAGTCGCAGTAAGCATGGTCTGGTGGTCATCAGTGTGTCGTCCTTGAAGCGAAACGACAGCCCCAGCAAAATCAACGTCGACTAGCACGGAACGGAAGTGTTTATTTCCAAACAGCACACGTTGCTTCTTAGTATCATCTGGTGACTTCGACACGAGCGCAGCGTTGGCATCACGGATTATTTGACTAGACGCCGCGATGGAGTCTCGTATCATGCTTGCTGGAAGCATGAAATCGGAGGTCGCCCTGATGTCTAGGGATTTTCCAGCTGCCTGAAACGCTAGTCGGACTTCGTCGCCAGATGAGGCATATGCCACGTTGAAAACCAACTCAGGTAACAAAGCCGAGTTGAGAGAGCGCTTGCGTCTGCTCCTTGAAAACGGCACCATTTGCAATTGAACATCCTCGATGCGTAGTTTTGCAGCGTTTGGCTTTCTATTGGACAATTCCACGCGCTTGATGGAGAAGACCAAGTCATCTGGAGTACGTCCTGAGGGAGGCGGCGGCGCGGAGCTCATGTTCCAACTAATCTGTATGTTGTTAAAGTCGAAGGAGTATATGGCGTTAAAGAGGTCTTCTTGTGACGAGTCATCCGGAGCCTGCATGGTCGAAGTTCCACGGAGTCGATCCTTTGATTCCGCATGCCCTCGCCTCCTCAGTCTCTTGAAACGCTTGACCTCATGAGACAGGTCCAAGGTCTTGATACGCTCCCGTAGGTGGACCGCCATATCAACCATCAGCGCAGCAGTTTCGGAAAACAGCTCAACTTCAAACTTCTGGCTGGTGAAATGATACACTCGCCTGGTCTGGCCATCCTCGCGCGTCATTGAGGTACCCTGGAACTTTGCATCAATGCCAAAGTTGCAGTATGAGAGGCTAGTGGCAGCCTCTTGTTTACGCAAATCAAAGCTGACACTTGACGTATCCACATGGAATTCCGGATATTCCATTGGCGTTCCATTCTCCAATCCGTTGTCCAGGCGCATCCGCATCATTCCGAGGTTGAACACCATATCTGCTGAATAATTCTTTCCATTGAGAGCCGGGGCGCTGGCATGGATCTTCGTGCCTGCCATGGTCATTCGCGCTTTATAGAGAATCGTATGCCCACTCGATGATTCCTTCTGATGAGGAGGAGATTTGTCAAGGGCGAGTACATCTCCAAGGTGTTGTTGGAGGATTTCCACGTTCTGCTGGAGATCGGACATCAAGTGCGAGAATTCTGGTTTCGTAAGAGCACCTATCAAGCTGCGCACAGCACTTGCTTCCAGCCAAATGAGCTCTATTGTAACATCGACTTCCATTTCAGTGCGACCAGGTGACAGGTTTGCAGTTACCCGGCCGTTTATGGGCGGGATCTCCAATACTGACAAAGGATACCACTCATCTCTTTCGTTAGATGAGAACGTGTGCAGATTCTTTTTCAGATCGAAGTCAACCTCGACCTTTGAGCCCACTGTTGGAATGATAGAAGTCCGGGCCACCTCGCCAGAAATAACGTAAGTCAAAGATGGCAGTACACAGAAACTGAGACGATAGTCATCCAAAAACATGGCGACATGAAATTTGTTGTGCACTGGCATCTTTGGCACAACTGGCTGGTCTGCTTCGGTAGTCGGCAGCTTAAGATCACTTGCTAGCCTGTGGATGTAGCGAACTTCATCTTCTATCAGTCGGTCCGCAGTATGAGCCAGGCTCAATGGATCTTCTTTCATATCAAAGCGAAGCTTTCTGCTGGACCCTGCCATCTTCCATTTGTTCGTCAAGCCCATCTCATTCTTCTCGGACACGCATGAGCAATACAAGTGCGGGTCACTAATTCTCCATAACATTAGAGTCCTCGAGAAGTCTGTTAGCTCAGAAGAGCAGGATTGGGCGCTGAGTAACACACTCAGCCCTCTGGGCTCATCCAGACGATGCATGTTTTGCACAACAGAGCTTCTTAGCCCGCGTCCAGTTAATGCTAGCTTGACATTGATCCCATCGAGAGTTATGGAACCGAGGTCAGCCCCAAATATGATCTGGAAGTCGTCTTCAGCCTCTGCTTTATTGTCAGGAGTCGGGGGTGGCGGAGCAGATTCCAAAGTGACTGTGGACATGGTTCTCGTTACTCCTTCCACGAGATCTAGAATCTCCCATCGAAGGTGAAGACTGATAGAGGAGCAGTAGGACTCGACTATGATCGAATTTCGCTGTCTCATGGAATCTTCAGATTTTGGGGCTTTTTCCGGGGCCACTGAGACAGCGGTAGACAGATCCTCAACTACAAAGTTGGTTTCCTTGGGTCCAGGATCGATAGCGAAACGAAGCAGCTTCACTGTAGAAGAGAAGAACATGTCTGTTCGAGCGACCTCCGGTTTTGGTCCAAAGCCGTTCCACACCTTTTGCATCACATAGCTTTTCTCAACATGAGCCAGATCCCAAGCTCTCCATTGGTCAAAGCTGTTGAGTACGATAGTTCTGGCATCCTTCGGGATGGAAAGATCGTCGTGAACGCACTTTGAAATCAGCTCCCTTTTCTGTGCCGAGCTCAAATGGTTATATATGTTCCGAATGCGCGAAATTATCTTCCAGGAGTCATGCTGGCGCACATGTGTTGGGTCAAGTCGGAGGACATATGAGATTCTTGTCAGGAATACAGGGTCCGCGATGTTAGGAGCAGGCTTGGTCAGAGAGTATATCAGGAAACGCAACCTCTTGTGGTCGAGAGATGAGCTATGTTGGAAAGATGATGTAACAGAGTCAAGCATGGTCGTTGTGCGACGCACTAGGGAAGCAAGATGCTCCACAGATTTTGTGAACGTAACAGTATCGACAGCTCGGGCTTGGAAGTTTGACCGCACTGCATGGCTTGCCACAAGCCAAAAGTTCAAGTCGCCGAATAGACAACTGAATTCGGCTTTCTCATGGTATGCCTCTGTTCCTGTTCCCTCCACAGACACCGAGAAGCTTTCAGCGGCTGCGTGAACAGTGGAGGTCTTCCGGATTCCAGAAATCAGATCACCTTTCTGGCGTTCGATCCTTGTTCTCATTCCAGCTCTTAAATGAGTGACCTCAACACTGTACTCATCACAGAACCCAGGTTCATGATTCATAGCAGGCTCGGTGGAGTTAACTAGTCGAGCCGAGATGAAGGGCGCTCGAATAGCAATGCTTGTTGCTTTATTCCGCTGTTTCAAGGATTTCTCATAGCCCACAATGTCTGAAATGACATCCTTCTGCAATGAATCAATAATCTGGACCGGGTGTTTTGGTTGTAGTTTCTCGATGAACGCAGACATAGTGAAGAGAAACTCTGGGGTACAGAACCCTCGGACTCCAGAAGGTAGTTCAAGTGCCAAGTTCGTGTATGTTGTCATGTCATCGTCGAAAGGAGAAAATTGAGGGTCGAATCTCGTAAGTTGCGCACTATCCGGAGGGAGGCCACGAGTCAGGGTTGGACACGAAGGCAGGTGTGCTGTATCCAGGCTGATTTTATGCAAGGTGAAATTTGGCATGATCCACGGGTTAGAAGCATCAGGTACGCTATTTTGCGGTTCCCTCGATTGGTGTTTGCGTTCCATAGGTGAATTGTGCTGATTCTCCTCAGCTATATGGAGATGACTTGCAGTTTCCTCTTCCGTGCTTTTTGTACGGCCAACGGTGCTGATGTCCCTTTTGCGGCCACCTCTCACACTTGAGCTATCTGAAGATACTAGAAAGCTCTTGGAGCTTTGGCTGCTTTCGGTTAAGGAACTTGTCGATGATGAGGACGGATAACCCATGATGCCCGCATGGCGCACAATGGGCTCGGGCATAGTAGGTATGGCGATGGTCGGGAGAGCCAGTTTGTCACTCTTCACCTGCATGGCTTGCGGCTCGACTTCCTCCCAGTCAAAGAGGAGCCACGGTGTTCTTTGCGTCCTTTGATCATGCACCTTGATGTGCTCTTGTTGAAGTCTTCGCTTTTCGACAATGTCGCTCCGCCGCTGGACCATCCGCAAATCTATTGTCGTGCGGAACAGCGCGAGAGGACTGACTTCAGTTTCTAGAAGGCTCCCAAAGCGACCAACAAATTTGTAGTCAATCGCAGCGACGGAGATCTCAGGAACGAGAAGGCTCATCCGCTTAGAGAACCTGGCATTTGCCCAGTCGTTGAACTTCGTTGTAACGGGCCCAGTGCTGAGGACGATAGCAGCCTTGTCAAGCAAGACTGATATGTGGATGATGTCAAGTTTTGCCCGAAGAAAGGTAACATCATGAAGCGCAAGTGGCACCAAGGGAGGAAGGGCATTTTCTTCGTTGTCAAAGGAGAAGTCAAAGCTTTTCAAACCAGCACCTAAGCATGAAAGGAACTCTGTAGAACATTCGCCAATTATTCGGCCAACATCGAAGTCCCAGTTGCAGACATACGTGGGCTCCGCGGGAGGCAACCCAAACAAACGGTGACCATGAATCGACACGCCATCGATAAAAAGTTGGGTGTCAGACACAGTAGGAGCATCCCCTGACAGCTGCTTTTCCAAGCCCACCTTCAGAGGCGCAATTGAGAAGTGCAGGTCCATGTAGTAGTTAGTGAAACGTAAATCAGCTTCCAAAGAAGGTGCTGTGAGCCTTAGGCAATTGAGCTTGTCATATATGTTCTCTGGCAGCAGCGCATAAGGACTATCGACAGTGACGTGAACGATCACGTCAAGATCATTGGATGTCCGATTCGGATTTATACCATTGTGAGAATCTGGAGGCTCGTGGCTGTAGGCGATCTCTTGGAATTCCTCTAGTGTCTTGAAATGCATGTCCTCGCCGAAGTAATTTTCCTTAATCGTCATAAACGACCTGATCAAGAAGCCAAACAAATAGAGCTTCGGCGATTGCCCATGTATGTTGAGAAACAGCGTGTCTGTTAAGTCCGGAGAGGTCGAAAGATAATAGTCGTAGCTTCCATCGATGTTCAAGGCAGCCAGGGTTGCTGTTGACTTGTCTTGCAAGAAAGTGTGCAGCGTATCCCATAATGGGCTTAGGAAGTCAATGGTTCCATCCCGGAGACTGACATTAAAGCTAACAGCGTTTTGCTCCGTTCTATACTTGTCCAAGGGAATCAGAACATCCGAAGTCAACTTCTTGCCCTTTATCACCAACAAGCGATTGTCGTCCAGGTCGGAGGGGTTGCTGATGATATTTTGGTCATTCACATTTACAAACAAGCTCAAATCCAGGAACGAGAGATTTAGCTTGTAGTGGAATGGGACAAAAGTGTAATAATCCGGTGCGGGACCAGATGCCCAGTCGCTAACAAGGTCTGTTAAAAGGAAGATATGATCGCGTAGCAAGAACAGCTCCATATCGTGACTCTCAATATCGAAGATCCACGTCCGGAGACTATTCCACGAGAGAGGCACAGAAAGATCACAGTTGATGATCTGTCGAGGACACTGCCATAGGAGCGCATGGTTGACGCTGGATGACATCCTTGATTCCCGTAGATCTATATCCAACTGGCTGCCAAACCCAGAGGCAGAGGCAACCATATCCATGGAGTAGCTTATGGAGGAATCGCCTGCTACGCGAAGAGACAACCAGCCAAAGGGACGAATGTCCGGGCCAATATGGCTCTTGTCGCCATCGCCAGTCCGTGACTGTCTGCGCTGCTGTCCTTGTTGTTTCTTCACTCTAGAGGCCCCGCGTATTGCGTTCGCCCTGCCTTTCCACTGCCAGTCTTTGGAAGGTTCCCGTATAGGGATGCGTAACGTCAACTCTTCACTTATGTCCACCCGTAGCCGAAAAACTGAATTCTTTCTCAAGTCTCCAGGTGCCAAAGGCTCTGCGGGTTGAGAGCTTCTGTAGGCATTAGGGAAGAACACATTCTGTAAGCCGACACGCTCCCGATCCGCCCAGGGACCGTAGTTAACAGTGCCGCCTTCAATTGTCACATCAATACCCCATTCAGGAGGCGGTGCGCCGTTGATATCCGACGGTTTTTCTTGTTTTGAAGGGTCGTGGGGAGGCTGCGACGGTCGTACACATCCTGGAATGTCCCAGAAATATGTTATATCCACGCCGGGGCTGTCCAAGATAGTGGAAAATCTACCATATTCAATAGCATTCCACTCTCCATGGTCATCGTGGCTCGTCTCATCCAGATAACGAGAAAGACCAATCCATTGAGTATCCTGACGGGCCTGCGGCCTAGAGAGAGGATCCGAATTCTTCTCTGATACATGGAATGACTCGACCGAGGTCTGGAAATATGGGATAAGGTCGCGAACACTATGCCATACTCGACGTTTCTGAAACTGATAATTGAAGATCGTGTCCCTTTTCCGCTTGGTCCCTGGTTGTTCTTCCTTTCTGGAGCCTAGGACCATGGCCGCACCGAGTTGGTTCTGCTTGTAGTCCGGATTAGGCCGCATCTGCATGATAGGATGGTTGAGGTGAAACGAGAACACCTGACGGTAAAGGTCAAGAGGACCCGCATCACAGGCCTCAATTAGCCCCGTCGCGCTATCGAATGTGGTGGTCAGCACCGAGACCGTGTGCTCATTGCCGATAACGATAGCCCCTTTATCACATTCCAGCTTCAATGGCAGAAGTTTGAGTAGTCTTGACAGGCTTTCCCCTACTTCTTGCCCAGCCCCAGTGGGATCAAGCGAGCGGATTGATGTGCCATCGGTACCCCTTCGGGCTGCGTCATTGCCCACTGCAGATGCATGGTCGGAGGTCTGTCTGCTTTCGCTCGATGTCCGTCGCGATCCCTCTTTGAGCTCAGGGTCCAGCTCGTTACTGCCCGGGTATTGCGGCCGGGTAAACGTAGTCGCAGTCTCGGGACCGGTAAAGCCGGCAAGGATGCTGTCATAGGCGGGTGTCCTGTTGTAAACAAACCATTCCAAGCCATAGAACTTTGCCGTTATGCGACATGGAAGTGCATCTGTCCTTTTGAGTCCTCCTTGCTCGTCACCTCCATTGCTCTTAGCTTCTCCATTACCATCGGTCGAATGGTGAGCGCCATCTTGCGAAAGGCCATTGCTTGCCTTGAGGTGAGACAAGTCTGTCTTTCTCACCGTGCGCTTCCAATAACGCCATGTTATAAATCCCCCATGTACAAATATTGTCTCATTTACTCCGTGGTACCGAATGCCCTTGAAGAAGATCCGCCCTCCGAGAAGGGATATCTGCAGCGCATTGATGTCGACATAGACGCGGTAATAATGCCAAGTGTAGGCCCGTATCGCATAGGACAAGAGAGCGGCGAAGAGACGATTGAAGTATAGCAGGAAGAAGAGGACACTGAGCAGGTCGTATCAGTATGTAGTGCGCGCATGGATCGGACGAACAAGACTTACAGAATACACGAGACAATAAGCTCGAGGAGAAAGAACCTAGACATGTATAAGCCATATGAAACGGTGTCAACATTGGTTTGCTCACCAGTTGAAGCTGGGATCAGGCGTCAAGGTCAGCGTTGACAAGCTCGCCATCTTGTCTTGCAATACTAAGGCTTAACCTCTCCTATGATGCCGGAGGGCCGCAAACATGGCGACGACGCGACAGCAGCGAGGGGACGATCAGTCTTCCCTTCGGAGATAGAAGGATGGATCGGAGAGCAATGTGAGAGTTGAAGGATTCATCCTACTCCGTACACGCGCGATGTCCAGCCGAACTCGAGATTAAGCCATGGTCATGAATGATGGGGAAAGGCGGAGAAACATTGGTTGGAAGTGAAGAACATGTGGATTGTCACGGGCCCGCCGGAACTAAACCGGATGAGGTAAGGGGGACAAGGAGCTCCGATGATGATGATGCGTCGCATGCAGGCGGCGGAGCAGTTGCACTACCTTACTACTACTCACACTTGGTGATCATCCCATCAATTTTCAGGCTTCCTCGACTTAACCGTTCAACCATGCCATTTTTTCCTTGCCGATAGAAGAACGATCATCGTGTTCTCTTACTCCGACTGCTGGAATACCCAACACAGGATCATGCCCCTTTCCTTCAGCTGTTCTCGTTGATTTACGGAATGCTTTAACCGTGGTTGATCTCAAACCCTGAGTACTAACGCGGTCAAGAACCGCAAGTCTCACCGACAATGAGGATCGCATCATCTTCATCTTCTGGAGGTACGGGCCATAGTCTGGCGCGCGCCGTGGTAATTGTATCAGGCGTGTCGGCGCTGGTGGCCTCGCTGTTGTCTCTCTTGTAAGCTCACATTCCGTCTCGATGCTCCCCTCCCCCTCCGGTAAACGATACAGTTGCTAACATGTATTTCCGGTCGATAGGTCCATATGGCTTCAGACGTATATCTCTCGCGTGTCTCCGGTTCCTCGTCCTCATACTGACTTGTGTCTTGCAGCAAAAACTACCGCAAGCCATTACTGCAACGCTATGTCGTTCGCATACTTCTCATGTCAGTGCCCATCGTCCGCCCATACACGACGCCTCGGGCTAAATTGTACTAGGGTTCCCATATACGCGGCCGCCTCTTGGACAAGTATTGTATCATTGAAAGCATCTCTTTGGCTGGATCCCATACGTGATATTTACGAGGTAAGTGTTGCGAGAGATGCTGTTCCCGGAGGTTAATCTGGCCTAGGCTTTCACGATCTACACCTTTTTCCAGTTACTCATCAACTTCCTCGGAGGCGAGCGAGCTTTGATCATCATGACCCACGGTCGTCCTCCTGTACAACATGCCTGGCCCCTGAATCATTGTCTACCCAAGGTCGACATCTCCGATCCCCAAACCTTTCTCGCGGTAAAGCGAGGAATTCTCCAATACACGTGGCTCAAACCCGTACTCGCCGCCGCTTCCATTATAATGAAAGCCACTGATACCTATCAGGAAGGATATCTGGGGCTGAACTCTGGATACCTCTGGACGGGGATCATTTATAATATCAGCGTGACCGTCAGTCTCTACTCACTGGCGATGTTTTGGGTTTGTCTCCATAACGACTTGGCGCCGTTTCGCCCGGTGCCCAAGTTTCTCTGTGTCAAACTCATTATCTTTGCCTCCTATTGGCAAGGTTTCTTTCTCTCTATCCTCCAGTGGCTGGGAGCTTTGTCCAACGGGGTTGCTGGTTACACCCCCGACAATCTCGCGGCCGCTATACAAGACAGCTTGATCTGTTTCGAGATGCCTATCTTTGCCATCACCCATTGGTATGCCTTCTCGTGGCATGACTATGCCGATCCGACCATCTCAGCCGCTCGGCTCCCGGTGAAATATGCTCTCCGCGACGCTTTTGGAATCAGGGACCTCATTGAAGACACGAAGATGACGTTGCGCGGTGAAAACTATGAATATCGGCTCTTTGACTCGAATGACCATATTATTGCGCATGAAGAGTCGGAATCTCGGGTGCGACGGGTCATGCATGGCATGCGGTATGAACGTGGTGGAAAGGCGAAATATTGGATACCCAAACCGGGCGAGATCAACAGCCGTACACCATTACTAGCAGGCAGTGAATCGCGCTCCCGTGACCGACGGAGTAGCACGTTGGACCGGTTCCGCTCTCCTACGGACATGAGCGACACCACCCTGGATGCAGAAGACGAGTGGTTGTTTACCCAAGCACGAGCGTTGGAATTTGGCGACTGGAATGTGAGTGAGCTGAGGTCATTTTCTACAGAGATTTGGTAGCTGACACTCTTATTAGTACCCAGTGATCACGGCCAACGAGGTGGCGCGAGATCAGCGGTTTGGAGCCCCGTCGAGCTATCAAAATCCCACTGAACAACCGGAAATTGTGAAGAAATCTCGTAAACATAGGAAATCTCGCGGGTCGCGCAGTGAGAATGCGCGTGGGAACGGCCGTGCCCCATCTAGCACTTCCCGGGATCGACCAGGGGAAACTGCCAGCCCTGGTCCACGAGAGGCCAGCTCATCGCTCTCACGGACATCTGACCGCAGTCAGTTAGTCGACGTTGTGGTGGAGGATCATCAGGCGGAAGAGGAGGAACGAGCTCAGGCAGAAAGGGCCTTCGGGTCGGCCGCCACACAACCCGAGCCGCGAGTGTTCAAGTAAGTTGCATTTCACTGCTGCCGCCGTCCTTAGTGAGACTGAGACGTTAACATCAATTCAGGAGGCCTTCGGAACACCTATTTAGCGAGCCACCCCATGAAACACGTCCTCTGGAGCAGGAAACGCAGGCGACTAGTGAAACAGACAAGACCGACGCAGTTAGCGAGCATACTACCCCGACACGAACGTGGTCGTACGGGGACATAGAAGAAGAGAATGTCTGGGGCCGATAGCGTGGCCATCAGCATCTGTGCGAAATAACAATTGTATTTTTCTCCTGTAATGGCTCTCCATCGATGGCCATTGTTCAATTCATAACCTGCACGGTGTATGAGATATACACCCAGGGTGGAGGTCCGACTGTTATAAACACCGAGCCCGACGGTGAAGGATCCCTGGACAGTGGTTGGAGGATAAGAGACCGGATCGCAATTTGAGCCTCGAATTCAGGACGGAGTTCTTTGTCCAGTCGCCCGAACGTATTGCGTTCCGGCAAATGGCGGGGCGCCATTACGCGCCCAGCACGGTGTGATATGCACCTCCTCCTGCTGCCACAGTGATCGACAGCTGGACACGCTGGTCGAGAGGGGAAGACTCGCAACACCCCATGCAGTCTTTGTCACATCGGCCCTGAATGAGGTTGGCGAAGTGCTGAATGATTGGTATATATCATTTCACTGTCCTTCCCGGCGGTCACAGGCCGTGATGCCGTAGATTCCTTTTTTTCTTTTTCTCTCTTAGTGTGCTGATCGAATACCTCCCCTCTTCTTTGAGTTGCGTCGCGCTTCGCCTTTTCCTACAATCGTTTCTCTGGTCACCTCCCTGGAGGATGGAGCCTCGACCATAAAGCGCTGGTAGCGATGATTCGGGCCTTTGAACAAGCAGGATCCCTCGTTACGGGCTGGATCTCATCCTGCTTGTTCTGCCCAGCTTCAAGGGACGATGATGAAAGCTTCCATCATCAGCAGTCTATAAAGCAGAGGGGTATGTCATGCATACATACATACATACATACATAGACATGGGTCTTACATGTGCTCACCACCCACAGGAGCTGAACGAGACATGCAAATATGTCACACACAGCCTCATCTGGTTCCTCCCATGAGGCTGGTTGTGTATGATGATCTACCCAGTCCCGGTCCCCCGCCTCGTCGGGCGTCGTCAATCCCGTGGTGGGTGGCAGAAGGCAGCAGAAGCCTCGCCTCGCGCGCATCCAACCGAGCGAGCGTGGCCTTCAGAAGGAAGTCGGCTGCTCCGGCGCCTTTGCGAATCAGTGCACCGTCCGACTTTCGAAGAGTCCCTACGTTCTCATTGCAACCTGACGACAGTGCCTTCCGGCCACTGGAGCTGAGCTTCAACACCCCCAAGAACCCCTTACCCGATCTACTACACATCTTCGACGACATTCAATTGAACGACGAGCGCCAACGCCAGGGCATTCTAGGACTCAACCGACCTCCACGCGCTCTCTCCTCGCCAGCTGATGTCAACCCTCTCCGCTTCTCGCGACCCGGGTCTCACCACCCGTCATCGTCATTTCAGCTGCCTCGCAAGCCCGTCGGCTCAGGCTCCCGGAGGTCGTCCCTGGCCACGTTGGAACAGCTCCTGGACAGGCAATCCATTCCTATAGCCAGCCCTCTCATCCCGCACTTCTCCCTTCGCTCGTCCGCAGTTACAGGTCTGACTGCAAGCGTCATTTCTCCGCTCCCTTCCAGGCTGGACTTCCCTGGAGCTGGCGGTGCTGACATCGCCGTCAACCAACAACGCCCAGCCACAGCTACCACCACTACGACAAGCAGCAGAGTCCCCCACACTCCGCACCTGCCGGACAGGCCCATCCCAACAGACGACCAACCAATCCCGCCTCAAAGCCATCATCCTCCCACAACTCCTCTAGACACTCGTCCCCCAACGACAACTTCCTCCGAGAGCACCCTGCAGCGCACACCCCCGCGAGCCGGTCGCGTAACGCAGTGGCTCTTCCAGACGAGCCCAAAGCCCTTCGCTCTGAGTTCCTGGAAACCACCGCAGGCAGCACACCTGGTGAACCCGTTCCGAGTTCGCTCGCGCACGCTCAGCGGCTCCACCGCGGTCTCCTCGCAAACCAGCATGACCGCGGCGACGACCGTCGCCGGACCTCCCGTCCGCACATCGACGTCTTCGTCCTTCGCCCCGGGATCCTCTGCACTGGCCAAAGAGCTGGAACTCACCCCTTCTGTATCCTTCTCACGTCCGCTGCCGTCGTCAGCACACCCGTCGGACGAGCGCACCTACCCGACTATCTACGAAGGTCAGCCGCAGAAACACCACGAATATGAAGACCTGGCGCTCAGCCACTACGGAAACTATCGTCATTCGGCGGTGGGCGTGGCCTTCTAGAATTCACTTGCTTGTGTTCAGTTATTTTGCTGGATGGCCGTTATTTTTGTGTCTACGTGATCACGATTACGCCGTTGATCGTTGATATTGGTTTTTGCACTGTCTGTCGCCATTCGTTACGCTCGTCACAGACGTGGATTCATCGTCCGCACATAATCTCCTGCGTGTTTGATACCCTCGAATTAGTTACTTATCTACTACCCTAATGGCATCCCAATTACAATATCATCCTGACAGTAGCTCAGTCCAAGTAGCATGAACATGCAAGTGGCATAGCAAACTAGACACCTAAATACAAACGGACAGGCCAAAACATACCTGCATTCTTCTCTACCGGGGATATCGTGTTCGAGGTATATAAGGGAACCAAAACAGGCAGCCGATGAGAAACCCATCTGAAACTCCGAAATGGGCCAGGCCCTAGCCACCACCACCACACAGCACAACAACGAAGTCAAGCATGTGAGAGCAATTGGACCAGAAACACCATCATACACCATCATTTCGCTTGGTATCATGTCTGAATCTTTTGAAACAGAAAACAAAATCCGTCCCCTTGTGATGATTCCCATATCATATAAAACAAATCTTCTTTCCTTTCCTTTCCTGTGTACATCTCCAGACAACTGCAAAACAAACACGTTCTTTGCGAAATAAAAACTCAAGAGCGCATAACACGAGAACAAAGCGGTATCAAAACTTCATCAATAGGACTTGCACGTCCCATCTCGGCCTGTTGACACCCTTTTTTTGGCGGTTTTCTCTCGACATTGTTGGTCACTTGCTCTAGTGGTATCAAAAAACGAAAAATTCTCACAGACGCTGATAACGAATTCAACAACGACAACAACAAAATTGGATATCTCTTGGGGTATACTGCTGCAAATTGACATTGGTTTAACGCGGTGGCCCGATGGGGGCCGGGTATCCAGAAGTAGAATTGGAAGTGCTAGGACGACCACTATCAAAAGAAGCGCGGGGGTCATGCTTGGGTGTCATGTCCCCAGGCGCGGTACCGAATGGAAATTTGGTATCGAAGCGCGCGGGCCAGCCATTGCTGCTGCTGTGGCTGTGGGAACTCCCCAGGACAGGCACGTCGTCCTCGGGTAGATTCACACCGGAATCATTCCATGGGTTGCGATAGCCACTGTCCCGGGACTCCATGGAAACAAGAGATGCCTTGGAGGCATTGCTAGAGGCGTGTTTGAAGAACGAGCCAGGAGAGGCAGAGTGGTTCTTGCGCCCGATGAACGAGGAGAACGAGGAGATGCTTCCGGGCTTGCGGAGCCTCTCGAAGATCGATCCGCGCTCACTGGTCTCATCGGAGAAATTGGGCCTGGTCGGCGAGTCGGTCACGATGGGAGCGGGCGCATGCTGCAACAGCTTGGAGTCGAAGAACGGCAAGGACTCTTCGAAAGAGTCGGACTTGGGGCGTGGGATGGCCCCTTTGACTGTCGTCGCGTCCAATCCATGGGCCACCAGGCGGGAGATCAGGAAGTCGATGGCGTCCTTGAGTCCACCAGCGTTGTTTCTGGTGTAACCCAGCACCACACGATCTTCGGGAGCGGGCGTGGGCGAGACCGAGCCCCCTTCGGAAGTGGGGGGATCAGTGTTGACATCCCACGGTGGTGTCAACTTCATATTGCTCCTTCAGTTTCGCGCAGACGTCCTTGCGGAAATCAGCCGACTGGAAGAACTCCCGCAACTCGGCGGAGCTCTGGAAGAGCAGCTCGTGACTCTCTGGGACCATTCCCAGCAAGGCATCAACTGCCTGGGGCACTTGGTACTCCGGTCCGGAAATGGTTACGACATCACTCGCAAGCTCGGTGCTGGGGAACTCGATCTTGCAGTTCCATTTCTTCTCGAGCTCGTCAATCTCGGACATGCGGGCGAGGAGTTCACGGTGGTACAACCGGTTGATCACGACACGTTCAGAAACGTATTCTGCATCAACCTTTTCGACCATGTCCATGATCTCCTGCTTGACCAAGTCCAGGCTTTGCGCATTCCTCGCTGGCGTCCGACAGATGACATTGTCGACCTTGATATCATCGTCCTCCTTGCCCATTCCGCCACGGTCCATGGCGTTAGAGAACTTGACGAAGACGGAGTATTTCTTCATGATACGTTGGATGTGCTGCCCACCGATGCCGATGATGCGCTTGTGGTATTGGTCAGGCACATGGAACGAGATCGACGCGGGCATCTCCTGCTCGACAAGATCCAAGCCGTTCTTGGTCGATTCGTACTGGTTTCCACAGACATCGATGTGGAAATTGTACTCGTTGAAGCCGTCAAAGATGATTTGAACATTGCCTGTTGGCGATTAGCGACCTCGTAGTAAAAGGATGTGTCGAGCACTTACTCTGTCCCATGATCTTGTTGATTTTGCCGTTCTTCTTGCCACTGACAAATTCCTTGTGCTCATTCGCCAATTCGATCTTCACACGCATCTGGTACTGACTCCGTTGAACGAAAGGGATCTGGTTGATCACCATCATGGCCGACTTGACCGAGTCATCTGACCCATTGATGGTGAAGGTCAGGTTGTCGAAGCTCACTTCGGCGCCCGAGTTCGTACAGATGTCAGAAAGCATTGTACGGACGTCAGCCGCTGAAGGAGCCCGGAAGCCTCCCTGGGAGGGGTCTGGCATGATGAGCCACCAGGAGGCGCTGTAGAACTGACCGGCCTGGATACAGTGAGCAAGGAAAGTTTTGTGTGATGGGAGGGGGACGGTACATACCAAAGCCATGATCTCCCGGACAGTGCGTTCGACATGGAGAACCTCTGCACCCTGGATGCGGACCACACCTCGCTGACTTCCCAGCTGCGGGAAAAGAACATAGGAGCCGTTCATCTCCATGACCTTGCGTACTTTGTCCAGGCGGTCAAGCAAGATATTATCGATCTTGTTGGAGTTGACAATGACATCCTTGACGTAGATTTTGACTCCCATGACCAATTCTCGCAACTTCTGCTTGGCCCGAGCGATCTGTTCCTGGGTATCACCGGTGATGTAGACCTCATCTTCGCTCCGACGGTGGGCTCCCGGAGGAGTATATCCGAAAATGCGAGGAAACGGCGGGGGGAAGTATATGGCAGTTCCGGTGGCGGCCTCAATGAGTTTGATATTTTTGCGGGTCCGGCCACACACCAGGGTGTGCATGGTTAGGTCGAGCTTCATGGCATCCACGTGGCGTTTGAGCTAGACACTCGTCAGTCCCAACCGTACAAAGAGAGGGGGAAAATTTTTCCCATCACTTACAATTTGATCGATCATGATCAACACCCGGGTCTTGGCATGTTCGGCACTCTCCATGTCACCGTAGATGGACACCCGGAAGCGTTGGTCCAACCCATTGTCCGATGCATACCCGTAGGAAGACACGACCGCACTATCGGTATCACGAAGCTTCGGGCTCAACAGGAAGATGTCGGTACCGGTGTAAGCGGCCAGGGTATCGAGGTGTTCCAAGACACTCGCCCGGATGCCCTTGGTAGAGCCATCCATGATGAGATGAATATCCACATCGACGGTCGCACATCGCTGTCAAGGCGGGCATGTTAGCCAAAGGTCCACAGTGGAGGTGATGAGGGGTTGTGGGTTCAAACGACGCGGTGCGACCACGAGGCTAGGGGGAAGACAGGACAACGCACCAGTAGGATAGGAGTCTCGTTGAGAACCTTTGCCCGCATCTTCCGCACGGTGTCTCCTTCACCGGTGATACAGACATTGGTCACCAAGCCCTGGGGGCGTCGCTGAAGAGACGGGACGGTCTTCGGTTCGGAGGAGGTGACGACGGCCTCGATCCTTCCACTACTGCTCTCGGTGATTTGGCGACATAATCTCCGCAGGGCGTCCACGTTACTGGCGTGAACGGGGAGGCTGTGGACGGGGGCACCCTCGGGGGTGCCTTCGGGAAAGGACCAGCGTTGGAGGGCGCCGGGACTGGCGTGAAGGACATCGTCGACATCGGGACCGGCCAGGGTGGAGGAAAATGGCACGTTAAAGGAGAGGTTGACGACGGGATCGAGGCCAGTAGGAGGAGTCATGGGCGGGGCTCCATGAGGTCGACGCAGCGAGTGGGAGGCCATATCGGTGTGAGGCCTCGACATACCGAAGGTGGGTGTCATTCGCTCCCAGCCATGACGGGCCTGACCCGTGAAGTTGGAGATCTTGTGCATGACACGAATCGATCAACGAATCTCTGACCCCTTGAACCCAGTCGAGGGGAGAGAGACGGAGGGGAGGGCGAAGAGGAGAATGGCGGCTAGCGGGGAGGGAGGGAAGAGAGGGCGAGGAAGAGAAGAGGAGGGAGTCGAGAGGAAGGGGAGGAGGCAGAGGACGCGAGCGAGCGAGAGAGAGAGAGAGGGAGGGAGGGAGAGGGAGGGAGGGAAGGAAAGAGGATCGTAGGGTGTGGAGGAGGTTCGCCGTTCTCGACAGGGATGGAGGAGCAAGAGGAATGGGCGCGAAGGCGGTGCGGGAGAACAAGGGCGTTTTTTGGGCGGGAACAAGCCGGAATGGGGAGAGAGGGAAACTGAATCAATTCGAGGAATGGACAACGGATCCCCAGAAATCGTCCCCAGCCGAGGAAGGGAAGGGAAGAGGAAGAGGAAGAGAAGAAGGTAAAAAGGAAGAAGTAAAAAAAGGAGAGAGGAAAAGGGGAGGATGAGAAGAAGAAGAGAAGAAGAAATGAAGAGAAAAGGAAAAAGAGAGGGGAGGAAGAAAGTTGAAGCTGTAAGAAAGACGAGGAAGAAAGACGAGAGGGTTATTGGAAGGGTCCAGAGTGGTCGGATTCGCAACAGTTGGGCTGAATGCGTTACTAAGACTCGACCAGCTCTATATCCAGTGTGGATATTGGACTACCTACATGGATATACATATTGCTTCTATCTTCTTTGACCTAGTCGCGGTTCTATCATGATAATCTAGTGAGGATTATTATTGACTCCTATTTCGTCTTCGACTCAGCCCAGTGTCTAGAACCTCGTTCGAGAGCCACCAAACACCCGGGCCATGGCATTTCCAGCTGCTGTAGAGCCGAAGGGTCGAATCAAATCATGGGTATAGATTGGGATAGCTATCTGTCTCTGATTTCACACTAATTAATCTGTATTTAAACCGCATTTCATCCATCCCAATTTCTCTCGCCGACTCTGAGCTCTCTCTCGATGGTCTCACCACCTGAGCTTTTCTGACCGACTCGATTGCGTTCGTTCTGCACGGCCCACCCGCCTTTCCTGTTTGGGGTCTCCAAGCGAGTATCTTCCGTCACGTGCCTACCATACTCGTCCATACCGTACTCCATACACAACTATCCTCCTACAGGTCGTCGCTGGTATATCTCCCGACCATGCGGGTGCAAAAGTACCTGATAGAATCGTCTGTGCTCCACCAGTCGGGAGAGATCCCCATCCACCCTCCATACCTAAGGATACCACCTACTATAGATACATACCTGGTACCTAACTAGGTACTAACCTAGGTACTCCCGGGTAATCGGCCTCAGCTCGGAAGCTGAAGGAAACAACCTTCACTCCTCGCTGTTTACCCTCCGAGACCCGTGCGATGGACCGTGTGCTCCGTACGGACGGGGCTCCCTCGATCGGAATCATCATCATCACCACCCACATACCTACATAACTACTGTTAATAAACTCATCCCAAGGGCGTGCATGCATCCATCTGGATCCACTCCGCATACCGGACCACCTAGTAACTACCTTAGTGACTCGCCGACTTGCCCAGGAAACGGGAGGACGTTTCCTCTTCCCCGAGTAAAATCTAGAGTAAGGTCGGTGCGAAAGTCTCCCGAGCGTGCCCATCATTCGATTCGTCAACGCGGAGACAACGGCCCTAGTCTTGTTTCATCCTGGCTGGGACATTCCGGCCTTGCGTCACCTCTGTATCATCGTTTTTTCTCCGCCTCGGTTATCCCCCCTCCCTCTTTCAACGCCATTGTGTCGACCCACGGGTTGCTATCGACTTTCTCGTGGTGAGATAATTGACTCTGGGGAGACCCCAACAACAGCCATTTAGCACTCTGCAAGTTGCATTTAGACTTCCTGCCAGCAGTCATGACCCTGATTCAACCCAGAGCAGTGTATCCAGAGTAAAACTGAGGGAGCCCAGGTCAGATAAGGGCCATCGCAGATCGGCAGTTCTTGTTGCTCCCCTCTCCATCCTTGCAGTGTCCAACTGTCTAATCACGATGGAATCGTGATCGACTGGCAGGGATGAAATCATCGACGGCGATGGCTCATGAAGATCTCTCCACAGCCAGGTAAAGTATGTAATCATACCGATTCCGTACCTTACGGCCGGAGCGCATTCACCAACGTCATCTTGTTCGAGTCCCCGGGTGGGTCACCCATCCGGCCCTCTCCAAGGCATCCGGGTTCTATGCTCACCTGACTGGTCTTGCGTATCAGCAGCTAGGTTTGTTGTTTTGGAAGGTAATAATAAACATACGGAGTAGTTACGCAGTAACTACCTAGATATTCAATTCAACATTAATTGAATAATTAGTAATGATCTTAAGGCAGATATTTACCTATAACATAGCCGCGTGTCCTCCCATCTCTTCCCAGCAGGCAGAAAATATATATCTCGTATCTCTGAAGCTGCCACATTTGTACAAAATTGACAAACAGCGCATTTCGGACCTTCTATCCCACCTAAAAAACATCATTATAACACTACTGACTAACTAGATCAGACCATAACACATGTACTCCGTACAGTGTCCAAGGCACCTGCAGTCAAACACCAAAGAAACAACACATGATCGAATACTGCCGGCCATTGCCGACCGCCCCCTCCACCGCCTCACCTATACTTAAAAATCATCTATCTCCAAAAGATCTGACATTCTTCTACAACCACTTCCCAGCATACAATCTTGTTCATGTGCAAGACAGGTACCTGCTCACAGAATCTCATGACCGATCCAAAAGAAACCAATCCTATTTAACAAACCCTTATTGCTCAAAAAGACCCATCTCTACACTGATCCCGCCAACCTACCTTACCTACGTTGGAATGCACATCCCCTCCCACCCCTTACTCACCACTCGCAAAGGATGAAAAGCCATTGTGTTTTGGAATACATCATGTCATTGACACCGTTTTCTAAACTGTAGTGGTATTTCTGATGCGAGACAACACTATCTGCCCTGTGAAAACTATCAAAGATAGCAGTATTACCAAAGCTCTATGTATGAACCGTGTAGATACAAAGAATTGGATTGATCAAACGAGGGAATTCAAACAAGATAGACACCGTGTAGCTGCTACCACACCTGTCTTAATAGCGTTGCGAGACTCGGCGGACTCCATCATCCAGCACCATCCGCTCAGCTTCGCCGGGGTCATAATAATGTTCTTCTCTTGGCAACGGCCGCGCTGCGACATATACCGGCCGTTCAATGTATTCTCGAGGTCGCCGCGGATCGTCCTCCATATAGACGCCCACCTCGTGACCTCCAGGCCGCACGCTCTCCACTCGCTGGACCACCTCGCGTGGCTCCTCGTATCGGGCCGTCTGTGGTCGAGCACTGGGCATTCGCACCAGATGGGGATAGGCTTCGTCCGGAGGCCGGGTGCTTGGCATCCGCACAACATGCTCCCGGGGATAGTTCGCATCGTCGGCAGGCCGCACGCTGGGTACTCGCACAAGATGAGGATAGGGCGCCTCGTCGGGAGGCCGCGTGCTCGGCATCCGCACAAGACGTTCCCGCGGATACTCCGCTTCTTCCACATAGGTGGGTTGTCGTGCAGGGTAGCCGGCAACCTGCACGCTGCTGCTACGCGGAAACGGCTCTGCCACAGATGCGGCATAAGATCGCCGTTCGCTCGGGATCGGCCGAGCGTAGTCAGTGACCCGCCGATAGGTCTGCGGGGGAACTTCCTGCACGACATGTCGCGTGCCGTAAGGGTCCTCGAGTACTGATGCAGCCCGTACACTTGCATGACGTATCGGCCCGGGATCGTCGTACACCTCCGTCCGGGGCACCGGGACCCGCCCGGTTGGAGGAGGCATCATCTGTATCCGCGGCGCAGGCACGGCTTCATAGTATTCATTGCCCTGATCGTCAACCACAATCCTTCGCGGTGGAGGAGCCATCATCCGACTGGGAGCTTCATCATAGTATGCTTTTCTGTATCGGGGTGATGGCGGTGATTCGCCGGCAGGTATATAGCGTCTGGTTGCAGGAGGGGGCGGGAGCTCTTCGTAGTACCGAACTCTCTCTTGCGGTGGCCGCTCCACGTACGCGTAAGATCCGGCTCGTACGGAGTGGGGGCTGGTCTGTTCGATGAGTTCCCGCGGATATTCGGACTGACGAGCTTGATGGAGGCTTGCGACCCTCCGCAAGTCTTGGTCATCGCGGGCTGGGCGTCGGACGCTAAGTCGAGAGACAGTGCGTGGTATTCCGGTCTCCACCGGGTACTCGTAGGGATCTAGGTCGTACGACCTGACCGGCGGCTCTCTCCGCTCCACCACAGGGGTATAGCGTGGGGATGCGATGTCAATGTAGATTGGCCGCTCTTGAGGCTGACGGCTGCGGGATGTCTGCGGATCGTCTGCAAAAGGTGGAGGTGAAACTGGTTCCTCTTTGATATAGGGCTCATCAAGACCAGTACCTTGCATTCTGTATGAGGCAGGGTGGGCTCGATCTCTCTCGTCATGCACCCTCCTACGCTTCCGAGGCATCAGCTGCTGGGGAGCTGTATCCGGACTACCCTGGCGTTCCGACTCATATTCCGAACGAATCTCTCGAGGCTGACGGACTGAGGGAACTTTAGTAACAGCCAAGGGAGAGACTCTAGAGGGCTGAGGCGCTGCCGGCGATGTTATATGATTCCGAACGATTCTTACATCGTCCCCAGCCGATACCGATCGGCGGACATAACGGGGACGATCGGGGGCTCGACCTTCCACCGGTCGTCGTTTGTGTCCGGCGGATCCATCAACTCTCGCCATTGGGGGCACACCCGGAGCAGGAGGGGAATACTCGGGCTCTTCCAGAGCATCTGAAGGGGGCGCAGGCTCATAATAATCACTGGCTTCATGATCTGGCTCCACATGACGTGACCGCCGCGGAGGATAGGGCAATCGCTGGTCTGCAACGGGGTAAGTATTCTGCAATTCCTGATCCGATTCAGTGCGGTTGAGGGCTTCCAGCCGTTGCAACTCATCTGAAAAGTTCTCTTGGGCGGCCGCCGTCGCCAACCCGCCCCGAGTAGAGGGAGGCGCCGGGGACGGCTGCTGCTGTTGAGAGTCGCCATGCTGCGGAGAGTCAGGAGCTCTACTAGAATAGAACGAGTTGTCATCGAACGAGTCGCTAGGTTCTCCTGCCCCGGGACCATCCACAGAGGGAGATGGTTTGACCATCTCAAAAGCCTTATTCAACACCTCGGAAACATCGAAGTCTGGCTTCGTGTCCTGCACCCAGGCCTTCTGTTTCGACTCCTGCCTCTTCTGCTCCAGTTGTTCGCGCAATGCCCTTTCCACTCGCTGTCGATGTAACTGTAGTTCTGCCCGGACTAGATCATCCGACTTCGTCAGGAAGATCGGGTCTATCTCTGAGGTGGGCTTGGGAACGATACGCGCCGCTGCGTTGGCGCTCACGGCGGCATGGTTCGCCTGTGCATTCTGCGAGGTCGCGACCCGGTTCGGAGACGACACCGACGGGGGAAGATTGGCTGGTGAGGACCCGGACACGCCTCCGGAGGATTTTACCTGGGGTGCGGAAGGGGGATTTCGGGATGCTGGTTTGCGCACAAATTGCTGGGGTACCTTCAATCTAGGGTGAGCTCCAGAGAAAATATCGTCACTTATTTTCAGAATTTTCTCATATTCCCGTACTTCCTCACTTGTAGGTTGTACAGGCATATTGGTTGTAGACAGTTGGGTTGCTGCCATGATCTAGGAGCTCCTCGGCAGAAAAATTATTTTTATCAACCAACAACTTTGCCAGTTGTTGCGACGAAGTGTTCTTTTCCTATCTCCACAGCGATGAGCGATTAAACCGATTGAAGCATCACCTTGGTCAGAGGTAACTCTCAGAGTTGACCGTGGACCACTTCAGGGTTTGCAGGAAGGAGGATGTGGCGGTGGTGACGCGATCGCTGGGAGGGAAACCGGGAAGTGCAGAACGTCGTGTATGTGAGAGGAGGAAGAAAAGAGACGGGGAAAAGCACGGGAAGCTCTGCGGCGGCGCTAACTCCCTGCGGAAAGGCGCGGGCGGAGGGCCTAGCGGGAGAAAGTACTAAGACTGTATGGTCTTACAGAGGGAGGGACTCTTAGTCAACGGACACTACTGACTGGTTCGCGATGATTCACCTCCCACTTTCATCCTGCTTGCGATCCTTTGCGCGGAGTTCCTGTGGCAGACTTTTTGCTTTTAGCCAGTCTAATTCCTCTCTTCCTCGATCCTCACCTCTTGCGCATTTCCTTCCCTCCTCTTATCTCCCTGATTCTAACCCCAAGCCCCGCATATCTGGTCCCCGGAGAACCATGTCTACTTCGAACGGTACTACCACTGCCTCGTCCGCGCCGGACTCAAGGCCAGTGTTCTTCTTCGATATTGATAACTGTGTAAGTGATGTCGCCTCGCGATCATTGAACTTGTATTTGCAACGACTAACAGTGGCCATACGCAGCTCTACTCCAAAGGTTAGCCCAGCTTAAGTCCCCCGATTGCGATACAACCCCAATGCTGACCCATCTCTCAGAGTGCAATATCCACGATGAGATGCAGAAACTGATCCGTAAGTACATCTCGCATCGCACGCTCCGGAATCCTATACTAACGAGAGCCTTCTCCCGTCGCAGACAAGTTCTTCATGGACCATCTCTCGCTGGACAAAGACGACGCCCACATGCTTCACATGAAATACTATAAAGAATACGGTCTTGCCATTGAAGGTCTCACTCGCCACCACAAGATTGACCCCCTCGAATTCAATCGCAAAGTCGACGATGCCTTGCCCCTAGACCGCATCCTGAAGCCGGACCCCGAGTTGCGCCAGTTGCTCGAGGACATCGACACGAACAAAGTGAGGTTGTGGCTCTTGACGAACGCATATATCACCCATGCCACGAGAGTTGTCAAGCTGTTGCAAATCGACGATCTCTTCGAAGGCATCACCTACTGCGACTACTCCAAGCTACCCCTCATCTGTAAGCCTACCCAGGCCATGTATGAGAAGGCCGAGAAGGAGGCCAGGGCTCCGAGCACAGAAACGTGTTATTTTGTGGGTAAGTGCAGGAACCATTCATGTGTTTTTTGAACAATCCATGACTAAGTGTTGTTTAGATGACTCCCACCTTAACTGCAAGCATGCTGCGGAGCGTGGCTGGACCACTGTCCACCTCGTCGAGCCTTGTACCCCTCTACCACCGACCCCGGCATCGCAGTACATGATACGGAATCTCAAGGAGCTGAGAACCGTCTTCCCGCATCTTTTTAAGAGCCAAAATTGACCGTCGTCGTGCTTTTGCCATATAGATTGCTCTGTTAGATTTCTGCTAGCGTTGTGACGGGTACTATGAGTATATGAGATTTCTACACAAAATACAGGTCGGCCTATTTGTTTATTTGTTGTCTTATAGGCCAGCATAGATTTCGTGTATATAGTTCATTCTTGCGGGAGACGTCATGATGAAGGACATGTTATGTGAAGATACCCTAAAATAGTTGCTTCTTAGATACGCAGAAGTCCTCGTTGCATGTGCTCAGGCTCTTATAAGCAAACTTTATCAATGTACACGATAGTAATCCCTATAACATCACTGTCCCACAGACTTCCTCTGTACGGAGTAGATCCAATAATCCTGGTGCCTCAGGCTGCAAGGCACCATCCCGCGCGGGATCGCGTCCTGAGGCTCCGCCAACCCCGTATCAACATATCGAATTGGTCAACATCAACAACATCCCCAGCTCACCACCTCACCCTCACCACACCCACTGTGCGCACAGGGCTTTGAAGGTAGATGCCCGATCATGGCTGATCTCTCTTCCGGCCATGTGGTCACTCTGACCGACGGACGGCAGGCCACCGTCCGGTTCGTTGGGACCACGCATTTCGCGGCCGGTGACTGGGTCGGGATCGAATTGACCGAACCCACGGGCAAAAACGATGGTTCCGTTCAGGGCGAGAGATACTTTGAATGCGATCCGGGCTTTGGCATGTTCGTGCGTCCAAGTGCCATCGCCGCGATCATTGAACAGCCCAAACCGGCATCTCGCGAGAACGTCGCTCCAGGAGGCCGAACCCGGGCCCAAAGTGGAATCACCAAAAAGCCGCCGACCCTGACCTCTACGACTGCCAAAAGGAATAGCGCTACGTCGGCGAGTCCGACGTCCGCGCCGAAAGCTCCTGCGTCACGACTGTCGGTGAAAGTGCGTTGCGCCGTCGTCTTCCTTCATCTTCGTATACGTGCGCCTTGCTGATACACCCCTGATATAGTCTCCTACAAAGTCCCCGACGAAACAATTGTCCACACCGTCATCTCGTTCGTCAATCAGTGGTACCTCACGCACGTCTGGCGTAACGCCTAAAGCTCGACCGTCCCTTGGCGCGAAATCCTCCATGGGCCCTCCAGCCCCTCCGGCCACCTCTCGGACCTCTCGACCGTCTATATCTGGACCTACTACCCGGACAAGCAGACAGTCCCTCCAAGGGCCCCCATCAACCGCCAAGCGTCCCGTTCTCCGCCCCACAGCCCCCAACAAAGCGTCAGAAGAGCAGGAGAGCGTCGCCAGCCCGCCGTCAGCAGACGACGACGGCGAGGTTCCAGATGTGGAGGATGAACCCCCCGGAGATAGCGAGGAGCTACCAAAGGCACCTAAGCCAGCTCCACGGACGAGCGGTGTCCGCGCTGCGCCACAAGCTTCTACGCAACGACAGGCCCAGAGTAGTAGTGCTCTCACACGGGAAATCGACGAGCTGAAGACGAAGATGAGGGTGATGGAAAAGAAGCGAGCGGAGGACCGGGATAAGATCAAGAACCTGGAGAAACTCCAAGCCGAACGCGACAAGTTCGAGGGAATCATCCAGAAGTTGCAGGCCAAGTATCAGCCACAACAGATGGAGATCGGTGAGCTGCGGAAGAAGCTGAAAGAATATGAGTCGCGCGCGGAGGAAATCGAGCGCCTCCAGGCGGAGCACGAATCCCTCATGGAAATGGCGACCCTCGACCGGGAAATGGCCGAAGAGACAGCTGACGCTTTCAAGCACGAATGTGAGGCTCTCAGAATGAAGGTTGAAGAACTTCAATTGGAAGTCGAAGTCTTGCGGGACGAGAACGAAGAGCTATCTCATGTCATGAGTCCCGAGGAGAAGTCTAGCCAGGGATGGCTCCAAATGGAGAAAACGAACGAGCGTCTCCGAGAAGCGCTGATCCGACTTCGTGACATGACTCAGCAGCAGGAAAACGAGCTGAAGGACCAAATCAAAGAGTTGCAGCAGGACCTGGAGGACTATGCTGCAATTAGGTCTCAGTATGAATCCACCAAGGAAAAGTTGCTCGTCTCGGAGAACAATGTCGAGGATCTCAAGCAACAGCTCGAAACCGCTCTGGGTGCTGAAGAAATGATCGAGGAACTGGCAGACAAGAACATGCGCTACCAGGAGGAAATCAACGAGCTCAAGGCGGCCATTGAAGACTTGGAAGCCCTGAAGGAGATTAATGACGAGCTCGAATACAACCACATCGAAACGGAGAAGCAGCTGCAGGAAGAGATCGACTACCGGGAAAGTCTGTTCAACGACCAATGCCGAAAGATTTCTCAACAGGATGAGGTCATCGAGGATCTGGAGTACACCTTGGTCCGCTTTCGTGAGCTGGTCTCTACTCTACAAGCGGATCTGGAGGATATGCGCGCCTCTCAGCAGATCTCCGAAGCCGAGGCTACAGATCTCACGACCCGCTCGCGAGCCATGATGGACCTGAACCTGAAGCTGCAGGCGTCCGTCGCAAAAGCGCAAACCAAGACCATCGATATTGAGCTCGCCCACATGGATGCGGAGGAAGCTACGCAGCACCTGTCTATCCTCAAGCTCTATCTCCCAGAATACTTTGAGGGAGAGCGCAACTCGGTCCTAGCGTTGCTCCGTTTCAAACGCGTCAGCTTCAAGGCTTCATTGATGAACAATTCCATCCGTGAGATGGTCTCCGAGCAGACTACCCCCTCGCCCGAAGAGACCTTTACCGCATACGAGGTGTTCGAGAAACTGTCGTGGATTGCGTCTCTCTGTGACCGGTTTATCAACTACATTACCAGCTGCTCCGCAGAGGAGTTTGGCGGTATCCAGGCGACCCTCTTTGAGATGGAGCCCGTGGAACGCACGCTAAACTTCTGGATCGAAGGACTGAAGAAGAACGAAGTGAACATGAAGAAATGCGCCGTGGAGCTGCAACGATCCATCGCCCTGCTTTCGCACCTCGCAGAGACCCACCTCCCATCCTCGCTCGAGACCTTTGCAGACGAGCTTTGCATGCGGTCAATGCTGACCCAGTCTTACATTGACCATTCTGCCTCGTCAATATCTCGACTGAAGTCATTGCTGCAGTCTAAAATCCCCGTTCCCGAAGAGGGAGACGAGGAAGCGACTTACTTATTCAACAAAATGGACGGATTGGTATCTCAAGCCCGCGGGCTCAAAGTAGCGATGGGCAAGATATCCCGATCCATCGAGGAGCTGCGGTCCCGATCCCTCGCTCTGTCGCACGACGCGTCTGGCCCCTTCAAGGTCACCGAGGAGGCAGCCAAAGAACTCGCCGAGCTTACCCGCAACCTGGGCGAGAACGTGCTTCTCCTTGCGATCGACGAGAGCCGCACGGAATCGCTCACCCTCCCAGAGGTGCTGAAGCACATGTCTCAGATCTCGACGCTGTACGCCTCGCCCTCCGAGCCTGCCAGCGAAACCAACGACACGGTGACCTTCATTTCCAACCGCCTGCGCAGCATCGGCGGCAACATCGAGGAGCTCGACTCGCTCTCCTCCGACCTCTCCATCACCTCGGAGTTCGAGCGTCGCCCACACCCGTGGATCGCGCGCGCCGCCGAACTCAAGTCCAACAAGGCCAACTCTCCCGACGCCGAAGAGGAGATCCGCCGACTCAAGAACGAGCTCGCCGAAGCCTCCACCGCCCTTGGCGTCAAAGACGAGACCATCGAGGAGCAAGCCCTCAAAGTCGAGCTGGTCGAGAGCCGCATGCGCGAGGCCAGCAAGAAAGCCGCCCAGGTCAAGGAACTGGAGGCCCAGCTCGAGCAGATGCAGTCCAAGCAGGCCGAGCTGGAGGCCCTTATCGACACCCAGCGCAAAGACCTGCACGCCCTCGAGGCTGAGCGGGAGGACTTCAAGGCCCGCCTCGACCGCGTCAAACGCGCCTCCGGCACCACCGGCGTCGCCACCACCGCCGACGGCGGCCTCGTCATCGACCAGGGCGTCTCGCTCGCCACCATGCGCGAGAACGAGGCCCTCCGCGCCGAGGTCGAAAGCCTCCAGGCCGCCGTGCGCTTCCTCCGCGAGGAGGCCCGCCGCGCCAACATGCTTGACCCCTACTCCGTGCAACGCTCCGCCGACCTGCACTCCTGGCTGGACGTCCCGCTCACCCGGACGCCCGCCGGCGCCGCCGGCGCCACCACGCCGCACGACAAGCTCCAGCAAACCGCCTCCGAGAGCAGGGACGTCTTCGCCCACCTCCTCAAGCTCACCAAGGACTCGCACGTCTGCGATCTCAAATCCACCGCCGCCGAGAACCGCGCCGCCTGGCGCCCCGCCAAGACCAAGCTGCGGTACCAGGTGCTCCAGCAGCGCGAGGACTTCGAACGCTGGGCCGAATGGCGCGACGACATTGTCCGCCAGGAGCGCGAGCAGGACCGACTGGCTGCAGCGCGGAGGGAACGGCTTGCACGTGGCGGCCGCGCGCACGGCCATGTCGCCCGGAACTCGGTGTTTGGAGGCTTTCCGCAGGGCCTGGGGCATGGGATGATGGGGCGGGCGTGGGAGATCCTCGGTATGCAGCAGGATAGTCGGAAGGCGATGGCGGATCGACCGATGGAGCCGGCGGTTGCGCCTACGTTTTGAGATAGAATCGGGTACGATTGGCGCATTATATTGACTAGATCGTGTGGCTGTATGTATGTCGATGGTGTAAATAATGATTACTTATCTAATGTAAATGAAGACTGCGCGCATGCAACAGAACGCTCCAAAGGCCCACAGGGCAAACAGGCAAACGATCAAGGACAAATATAAAAGCTAGTATACAACTCCATGCTCAACCCGACGGCTCTAAACCAAGATCAATACATGCAATGTGGCCCGAAAGACCTCGATTAACTTCATCAACGTGGCATAAGACGATGAACGGCGGTGAGGGTGAGTCGTGACAGAATATCATGACGCGGTTCACTGTCCTGTCGTGAGACAGTCAAGTGAGAGATTTTGAGTAATTAATGTAATTAAGTGCTTTGTACACTCAAGACGCGCGATTACAGAACGCCAGAGAGAACGGCTTCGGTGGCTGTGAATGAAATTAGCAAGGATGCCATCGGAACAGAAGGAAGCAGCTCTTACCTGAGTTGATATACGGACGCTTCGCATCCAGGTTCACGCCAAACCGCCGCTCCAGTTCCTGTTTGATGCTCTTCTTCGTGACGGTCATCAGGTCAGCGGTGCGAAGGATCTCACGGATCTCTGCCAGGATGGCGTCGTCGCTGGGCAGATGAGATAGGTCCTCCATGCTCACGTCCATATGGTGGCTCATCATCTCCGACGGGGCTAACGACATGCGAGAACCGTAGCGCGCCATATCCATTTGTGACATCGGCCGCGCACCGGGGAATCCGTACTCGGACTGGGCGGGGTGGTAGGACCGCGTGCCGTACGAAAAGCCTGAAGCTTCGGAGCGGTCGTCGCGAGAGGTTTGCGCCTCCCACAGCTCGGCCTGATACTCTTCCCACTTCTTCTTGGGGATCGAAGCCGGGTCGAATTTGCCTTCGTCGGAGATGACGATCTTGCGGCCCTTTTCTCCGGTAATGACACGCGTATTTCCCCAGGAGAAGTCGTCCATATGCCAGAAGGAGTAGAGCGGCAGAGCCAGGGAGAAGACAGGCATGGCGAGAATGTAGATGATCATCCAGCCAACCATCTCCCACTTGCGGCGCAGGATGAAAATGATGGCCTGTAGACCGTAGATTGCTGCGAGAAGAACGAAGGCGGTCCATGGGATGGTGGATGTGTCCCGAACAAGCCAGACGATCAGGTAAACGATGTAGGCGATTGTGACGGGCTGAATGACGGTACCGAGGAGATCGATGAAAACAATAAATCGCATACTGAAGCAGCAGAATCCACACAGCTGTTGGAGCGGAATCAATTCAATCAGGTTGTGAACCGTAGAGTTGATCCACCGACGACGCTGGGACAAGAAGACAGCCCAGCTTTCGGGGGCAATCGTCCAGGCCTTGGCGGAGTAGATGTACTTGGTCTTGTACTTCGGATGATATTTCAGGAGCAGTGTCGTCAGGTAACGGTCTTCACCGAGGTGCAGAAGGTTCTTCATGTGGAGGGTATCCACACGAATCTCCGAATAGCCGTCAACGATTTCCTTGCTCACGAACAGCGGCTTTGCTGTCTCAGCCGAGCGGATACGGTACATTGTGAAACAACCGGGAAGACAGGTCACGGATCCGAACAGACTCTCGAATGCTTTGGTAAGGTTATGAGAGATATAGTACTCATAGACCTGGATCATAGTGACTGCCGAGGTTTTAGCGTTTGTCAAAGCTGTCTCACCACAGACACCGATGAGACGCGTGTCTGATAAGAAGGATGACACCATGCGAGTCGCCGCGTCCGGAGCGACGACCGTATCAGCATCGACCTGTAGGATGAACTCGTAGAACGTAGGGTTGACACCAATGATATTGCGGATCTGATGATGCATCTCCAGTTCCATCGGGCTCATAGGAAGGTTGTAGTGGATACGGTTCAAGAAGCGCATGAGGACCATCTGGGAATCACGCTTTCCGCGGTTACCAGGCCGAGACACTTCCGAAGGCTTTCCAACCTTGACAACAACAAGGAACGGCACGATATGGCCCTGGACCTCATACAAACCGGAGTAGATCTTGCCCATGTTGTGTTGCTTCATGCCTTCACCCAAACTCTCGAAGCTGAGCGGTTCAGGGTCCACCGACTCTGGTACCCCCAGAATATCCAAGACGATTCTGGGAGTTGGGCGGTCGTTTCCTTGTCCAATAATCATACCGTCGCAAATCACGACCAGGAGCTTCCGCTTGTCATCATAACGCATGCGAGCCATCGAATCAATTGCACGACGCAGAGACTCTTCATCTTCGGTATAGGCAGGCACCTGACAAATAATGAATTTATCAAGGTTCTCCGGGACGTTCTTGCGTCCAAATTGAAGGGCTGCCACGAACTTGAAGAGCACCACGCAGCAGATAAGAATGGAAATCGCAAGGATGAAGTACCGTGCAAATTGGCACTGAGGCGAATTACGTGTATCGACATGACCGACGAAAAAAAGGTTGTCCAGACACAGCTGCATCCGATCAATAACATCCTGGTCGAGTTGGAGACTTTCCCAATGCTTTGTAAGGTCTTGACCAGGAAGACTCTGGAAGAGTTCCACCACGGAAGAGTCCATAAAGTCACGGTCGACGTTACTAGGAACGCTCTCCCCGGGTGGTGCAGCCGTTCTGCGACCTCCCGTGATATATGCCGTCAAGTCGTAGACCTTGCCGTTGATGCTCCCAATCGACTTCTGCTTTTTGTCCGCCAAAGTCTTGAGGTACTGAGAACTATAGCCAACGTATCCCTTCAAATAGTTGGCTTTCAGTGACTGCATCTGTTCTGCGAACCAGTCCGGACGAGAGTCGTTGGTGAAATAGCGGAAATCGTGGTACTTGGAGTTCACGTCGGCAGAGCTGATGGTACTGACGGATCCGGAGATATTGGTTGGCGTATAATCCAGCAGCACATATGGTGAAACCTTTCCAGATTTGCCCTGGCACAAAGCCGACACTTGGACCGGGAAGAGACCCGTAGCGTCGACCCCTGCGTACTTCTTCAGGGAAGACTGTGGTACGATATTCGGGTAGTGAGAAGGCATGAACTTATCCAGGTCGAAGACAACTCCACGAATGGCCACGTACGAGTTGTGGCCATGCTTTCCGTCATGCGAGGATAACTCGGCGGCCGAATAGACGTGTTGAGTCGGACAGATCAGACCTGGGAAGCCGACAACGATGAAGATAGCGAGGGCGCAACTGAACCAGATGATCAAGTTGATCGCAAACTTTTCACGCCAGGCTATTCGCACATCCTTTCGCTTCATTCGACCGAAGAGCTTGATGGCAAAGTCGGGGATGTAAAACGTAAGCAAGTAGACGAGAGCCATCCAGCGCCGGCGACTACCCGACACGGCAACATCCTCGACTTCTTCCATTTTCTTCTCGTTACCCTTCTCGAGCATCTGTTCTCTGGTTTCCAGGTTCCGGAACATATCGCCCGAGTTGAAGGCAGAAGCGCCAGCCTCAGACCGTCCATCGATATCACGACCACCGAAATATCCCTTAGTATCATCGCCGTAGATGTAAGTGCCGGGAGACTGGTCCGCCGGATGGAGCAGTCGGACCTTTGAGTCCATATAAGTAGCACTACGCGGATGAAGCAAGCCGTCGCCGCCTTCATCAGATCCGTCGGCCGCGTAGACAGGAAGCACGCGCTCTCCGACCTTGGCAAGATCAGCCCAACAGCGTTCACTGAGGAAGACCCCAGTACTGCCGACGCGCGCTTCATTGCTAGGCCACCGCTTCTCATCCAAGACGACTTCAGATTTCTCCTTGTCACTGCCGACGACAACATTGCCGATTTCAGCCAGGCCCAGGAATTCAGCGAACGGGAGGAAGACACTGAAATCCGCGTTGCGGAGCCGTTGGCTGATTTCCGCAATTCCAAACGTCTGCATCTGTGACCGGACACACTTGCTGTCAAATTGGTTCGCGATGCGTCGGTCATTTGGTTTCAAGCAGAAGACGAAGTAAGGATTCGAGTTGGTCGAACTTAGGCATTTATTGACGATGTCCAGAGATGACAAGAACTGGCCTGCGGCGCCCTGGATACCGACCATGCTCATCGCGCTCTTCCTTCTGTCGGAGCCTTTTGCAGTACTGCTGCCTGCCTGGCTGTCGTACTCCTCTGGACCATCGGTAGGTGCATCAAAGGCAAGCCGCGAAGGCGGGCGGGTCTTCCGCCGAGCCATACTAGGCATCCGCAGAGGCTTGGAGCTCACCTGGGCTTGTATGATGGCAGATTTCTCTTTCGGATGAGCGATGGTCTGGAGGGCCTCTTGCCCAAACAATTCCCGTACGAATTCGCTCGTGGTGCTCTTCATGAGATTCATCAGATCACCTGAGACGACATCGCCGTTCTCTTCGAGCAAACCTTCCACCGAGTAATCAACCTCACCGGCGAAATGCTTCACGGTAAAGGCGGTGCGGGCGTTCTGGGAGACGAATTTCGTACCACGTCCTGCAGGGCTTTCCACCACGATCGCGGGGTTCTTGTTCTCGAAACGCTTCCGCAGGGACTCGAGGAACTGAGCATCGGTCCGACCGCGTCTGGTCTGGTCGTCGAGGATGCTGAGGAGACCGTTACCCTGTTTCAGCAGGCCACGAACAGCGTCCGTGTTGTCGAAGTAGCTCGTCGCGGGGACAGAGACTTCCTCACGCTCCAACATGTCGGCCTTTCGGTCGAAAAAGGATTGGAGGCAGAAGTTATACAAGGATTCGGTGGCCGCATTGTTGAGCAACTGGTCTAGAGTCGATCCAGTCGAGCAGGCCTGAGAAAAGCCGGGGAAATCAACAATCGAAATAGTGTTAGCGACACTGTCCTCAGCCGCACAGATCCGCTGATTCGTAGTCTCAATCACATAAGCGACGAGAAGGGAGTACAGAGTGCGCGCAAGCGCGTCGGCATTCTGGCGGGCGCCCTTTGGATCCAGCATGACCGTCACCCGCTCGCGGTGGATGGTCTTGGTTCGATAGCCGAAACTGTTCTCGAGGTCCTCGACTCCGAGTCCCAGGAACGCCGCAACAATGGAGAGTACATCCTTGTTTTTCACGACCGTGACGGTCTCGCCACCCTCATGCGAGTATCCGCCGGATTCCTCTGCAGAGGTGAGAGTCGCTTGACCACTCACAAAGTCCAATTGACCGATATGGAGAATGGCCGCGAGAATCTGGCAGATCTCGGCGATCTCGCTCCGGGGGAACTCTAGCTTTCTCAGGGCGGTCTTGAAGTGTTGGAAACCCTCGGAGTCATTGATCCCCACCTTGAGCTGAGTAGGGTGGCCCAGGTACCTCCATCTCTTGTGGCTAACGGAAGCAGATGAGAGCTTCCCACCGCCGGTGGTGATGTGAATCGGGTTGTCGAAACCTAAATGCGCCTTCTCGGCCGCACTGGTTCCCGCCAGGAGATAATAGAGGACGTGGAAGCTCCGCTCTCCGGTGGGAACGGACGCAATGCGACTCCGTTCCAGTCGGTGGTCAATGATCTTGCCTCCGATGAGGGTGGGATTAACGGAGGAGGATGTATCGTATTGCAAACTCAAAGAACAAGCCGGCTTTGGAGGCGGTGGGGGTGGTTAAGGACTTGGTGGTCGTCAGGGTGTCGAAAACGAAGGCGGCGTACGACAATTTGGAGGAGAGCGGTGTTGAGGAGTACGACAGAAGTGATGAAAGGAGGTGGGAGCGAATCGTCGTCTTCCCGGCGCCGCTCTCTCCACTGGATACTGGTTAGATCTCAGTCGGACCATGGTGACTGGAAACTTACAGGAAGACAACCGCTTGGTTCTCTCCACGTGCCCCGAGACGAGTGAAGGCGCGTCGGGCGAGGTCCTCAGCCTCGCCCATGGCGCTTCCTTCCTTGCCTCCATCGGGACCTTTGGACGACGAGGTGTATGTATTCAGACAGATTAGCGCCTGTGATGACAGACGAGCGGTTGGAAGGCCGACATGGAATCTGCAAAGTGTAGCCGGTCAGCTCGGTTCACGGAGGTGTTGAAAGGGGCGTGGCGGCCACTATACCGGCTGGCGAGGTGGGCTGTCAGATGGGTATCTGATTGTAGATGGGAGGGGAGGGACGGCAGCGAGGACTGCACATGAGAGGGGGTTGTGCCGCTAGTCATGTTGTGTAGTCGTCGACTACGCGACGAGAGGCTGCTGGAGAGCTATCACGGTCTATGTTGGGTGTGTTTTGGTGGAGGAATGCTGCCACAGCGGAGAGAAGATGGTCAGAGACTGGAGGAGGATTGACACATTGCCTGCGGCGGAGGCCGTTCCCAGGGAATGATCGCAGCGAATGATGGGGTTTCTGGGCTGAATATCGATCAGAAGAGGAACGAGTGTGGTTGGAATGTATAGAGGTGAAGATGAATCCAATCCAAATAAACGAACGAACCCAACAAGCAGAACGAGAGCCGAAGACAAGAAAACAAGAGAGAAATGCAGACGGATGAGAAAGCAGCTTTTTTGGGGAGCAGCGATAAAAGACGATGCGGATCAATACAAATACAGCTCTGGGGGAATCGATCCGAAAAGAGAATGGGAGATGGGACCCTCCTTGCCTAATGGGGGAAAGTGTGTATTTTATCGGTGAGATGTGCTTTTACAAATTACCGCCTTACCGATGGATGCCAACCAGCCTATTGTCAGGTATCGCGGACGCCCCTTACAGTACGTGGGACTTTTTTTCGATGGGTGGGACGTACATACAGTATTCCTTCTGATATTCCACTTCTATATTGGTCTACTGTTCCAGTATCAGGTATGCCTCGAGTCCAGCAGAAACCTCCCGTGAGGGTAGATTAACGGGGTCTTACATAGATGAGGGCAGGAGGAGTTATCGGGTGGAGTAACAGGAGTTAGTCTCAGTTGGAACGCTGCGACCCATGGATATTAATAAACTGGGGAATCTATTGCACCCTGATGACCTGACGAGAGAAAATTTCCATCGGCTGTGGTCTCAGGTAGACGACGAGACGGCAGTCCCCCCTGTACGGACTACTCCGTAGTGAATCTCTAGTCTCTCCGACTAGTCCAGTTTCTGGCCTGATACAATTATCATGTCAATCATTCGACGCCACGTCTCCGGTTGCCCGTCAGGAGACGACACTAATTTTTTACCCCTTTATGATCCCCTCGGATTGATTTGGTACGTACGGAGAGGACGATCATAGAGTCTTTGTTGATAAATCGAACGGATCGCCTTGAACGGGGAGCAGCACCAGCTTCATCCGACACGTCAGATAAGGGACTTTCTCTTGCCTCATGATTGGAGGGGGGAGCATTCATGATCGTCGCCCGTCCCTCGGCCGGTTCATTATTACATATTTTCTACTGTAGCAATTTGCAATACGGTCGACTGTATGTGAAACGGATTCCATAGTGGACGAGACGAAAATGGGTCGAGAATTCGATGGGATTCGAAGAGGCAAAAATCAACATTCCCTAAAAATAAACAGAGGCTCCATGTGATATCGGGTACCGGAGTAGGTTTTCGATGGTATGTCGGCCGTATATACGTATGTACGTCTGTACGGATCCATGAAGATATGGGATGTCGCTAAAACGGCTCGACCCTTTTTTTTTCTCTTTTTTTCTAAGATTTCTGTTTGAGAATGATAAAAATAACATGCAAAAAAACGGCTTCAATACATCTGACCTCCATCAGGTCAACCGGATGACAGCAGGGTCTGAGATGCACGCCAGAAATAGAAAACAAGCGTCTGCATGTTGACCGGTTGATGGTTGATAGAGTGGCGAGAGTGAGACATGGTGTTTGTTACTCCGTACGGGTGAGACAGAGTGTGCCAATTATAGCGGTCCATGAGGGTCTGGGACCTTGGGCCAGGCGGCCTGATTGGCGCACGGTGATCCATCTGATGCACGCCACGGCCGGCCATCAACTTGTTTTTTCTTTCAAAATCTCTCTCTTGCACTGAAGTATTGATAAAATAGGTATATCACAGTTTAGATACAACAAAATACGCGCGCAGTCGAAGAGAAGTGCAAGGAACCTCCCAGAAGACTACGTGGATGGACCAGTTCCTAGACGAACCCTGAACCGAGGATCGGACCGCGGGACCCTGTTAACAGCCCATTGCTATTGCTATTGAATTTCTGTTTTGGGAATGGAACAGCTGGGGATGAGGCGCTAGTAATTTTCGTACTCGCGCCCACAGACTTTAAGCTCCGACTGGAGATACTGTACATACAACCAGCCGGCTGCAATCGCCGCCGATCGTCTCTTTTCTGCTTTCATCTTCTCTTTCGTTCGGCCCTGCCTCTTGTTTTGCTCCTCGCCTTCGTTCACTTCGTCCTTCTGGTTGTTTTTGTTGTTGCAGCTGCTGTTCTCCTGGGGTCCCGTTCTGTCGTCCTCTCGTTTCGTTAATTTCTAATCTCTGTTATCGTCATTGTTTACCCTACCTATAATCGACAGTTTCGGCCATCATCAGAATCCCGATCAAACGGACGCCTCCTCTGCGCACATTCGCTCTCCGCCCGTTTTGTCCACATTCTACCTACTCCAGTTATCCTCGCTGCTGACAACTGACTCTCTGCCTCCTCCATTCCATTCACGCCCCCAGACGAGTTTTATCATCCCACTTTTCCCACTTTCCTCATCGAGATCCCCCTCTCCAGAGACTTGACGAACTCATGCGTTAACATCGCCCCGGTCTGTCCCCTCGTTTCTTCAACCGGGTCACCGTGCTGTTGCTTGATCCTCTTGCGGTGTCAAGACTATCAACATGTCCAGTCGCTTCTCTGTATATTCCGCCCACTCGGCGGCTCTGGCCCCGAGTTCGACCGTATCAACCGCCTCTCTGTTGAACGCCCTTCATGCCTACTACACCTCCGGACAACCGTACCAGTTGGACGCCGGAACAAGTCTCGTCGTGAACACCTGGGTGACTGCCACGCAACCAAACCCTGAAGGTCACGGTGGCGGCGTCATTGATCGAGAGTTAGCCGTCAAAGCATGGGAACATGCAAGACGGCGTGCGGAGGATGGGTGCATCGTCCTGTGGTACGTCCTGTCTGCGCAGGCCAACCGATAATGATCACATCGCTAATCAACCCGTAGCTCTACACATCACTCCTCTCCGTCCATCTTGGAGCCTTTTCTCGCCGCTCTTCCCCTCTCCACACCGGGCATCGCCTTTGCCGCCTTGACCGCGCTCAGGCCATTCTTGACCGCGGTAACATCCTTCAACCCATCATACTCTCTCTACTCCGCCCTCTCCGCATACTACACCCTCACCCTCAAAGGTGATATCGTGAGCCTGTCGTTGGCTCTGTCCACCTCCGGTATCAATGTCCAAAAAGGTCTTCTGGACATCCCCTCCGAGTCCGGCTACCGCGCTTTCGATGTATTCTACTATCTTCTCACCTCGGCATCGACTCCAGCCGAGCGCGAGTTCCTTGACCTGAAAGACCCGTCCGCATACGCATTGCTGAACAAGTCCAATACCTACACCCCTCCGTCCTATCTTCCCACGGCCGACGATGCCGCTGCGGCGGAGGATTTCCGGGCAGCGTTGAAGGCCATCGGCATCAAGGGTGCTGCCCACCGGGGTCTCCTGTCCGTTCTTGCCGGCTTGCTCAAACTGGGCAATGCGGCAGGCTTCCTCGCGGATCAGGAAGAACTCGAGGAGGCGTGTGAGGACGTTGGCGGTCTTTTGGGTCTCGACCCTGAGGTCCTCCTCCACAAGTGCTCGACTGATGATCGTCAGATGCTGATCTCCGGGGTTTATGAGGCTCTGGTTGACTGGGTTATTGGCAAGGCCAATGAAGCCATCGCGGCGGAGATCCAGGCCATGCACGAGGGCTCAGGCCAAGCCGGGCAATGGGCGGATGACGACACTGTGAGCATCACCGTAGTCGACATTCCCAGACCTGCCTTTGGAAAAGCTCTGGCAATGAGGGGTGCGTTTGACGATACTCTCGGAATCAACGCCGAAATGAAGGAAGACGGCGTTCCTGTGCCCCCTGTTCCCAGCACAGTGATGAACGAGATGACCACTGCTTTATCTCAGGTGGAGGCTGATCTCGGGGTCACGACCGGTCAGGCCTGGCGTGAACGCGAATACGAGTTGGACAAGAGACAAGGGGTTTTGGAGAGGGTTGGTCTGGAGGTGGATATGGATGCCTTCCTTCGGCAGCTCCTCTTTCCAGTAGAGTCCGAAGGAATTTCGGTGGGCAAGAAAGGTCGGTTCGATCTGGCGACGACCTTGGGTAGCAGTAGGGTTTGGCACCATATCTCGATCCACCCCACCGACGACTTGCCCGAAACGTTGAACCCGGCGATGCCTACGGCGGCGTGGTCGGCGAGCGCTGTCTCTCGTCAAATCCGGGAATGGAGATTGGCCGAATGGGCCAATCGTCGCCTCAAGCAGCTCGATTTCACCGCCGATTTCGACGTCGAGGAATTTGTGGGCAGGTACTCCCGTCTTGGTTGCGCCGAGGGTCGGGACGGCGTCGAAAATTGGCTGGTGGAGAGAGGTTGGACCAACGGGGATGCTTTCGTCGGCCACCAGCGAATCTGGATGAGAGAAAATGCATGGTGGGAGGCTGAATCCATGCTCGACCTGAAGCCTGAAGAACATCCAGTAGCGAACCCATTCGTCTACGGCGCGGGCATGCTTGACAATGGCTCCTCCCCGTACGCCAGTCAGCCGATGATCGCCGAGTCGACCAGCCTTTTGGACAGCCGTGATAACATAGCACAGCGGCAGAGCATGCTCGCACCCAGTGTCATCGGTGGCGCAAAATCCATTGCTCCCAGCGCGCCGCAGACGCTGAGTCGGGGTGGTGATTATGGTTTGGGCACCAAGGGTGACGATAAAAAATACGACAACCCGTACTTCGACGATGAAGGCCGGTACCTAGGAGAATTGGACCCGGAATTCGGTGATCCCAAACATATTGAGAAAAAAGAGATTACTCTCACCCGCCGCGTCTGGGCAGGTTTTGTGTGGGCTCTGACCTTCTGGATCCCATCCTTCGTGCTCCGCTTCATCGGTCGGATGAAGCGCCCTGATGTCCGGATGGCGTGGAGAGAAAAGCTCGTGCTTGTGTTCCTGATCCTTTTGTTCAACGCTATTGTATGTTTCTACATTATTGCGTTCGGCGACTTGCTTTGCCCCAACAAGGACAAGGTCTGGAACTCGAAGGAAGTGGGCTATCACCAAGGAGCCAACGATTTCTACGTCAGCATCCACGGCAAGGTCTACGATATCAGCAAGTTCTGGAAGTTGCAACACAGTGACACCAACATTGAGACGACCACCTCTAATATGGAGCCATTCATGGGTCAGAATCTGGACGCTTACTTTCCCCCGCCCTTGACTCGTGTTTGTTCGCCATTCGTGACGGATCAGACAATTCAACTCCAGAACAATGACACCAATGCCGTCTTGTACCCTAATGCCAAGCATACCTGTGGTCCCAAGTTGCAACCCGACACCAGCACGAAACTGCATGAAATCACTTGGTATGAGAACGTCTTCCTTCCAAAGATCGACGATTACTATAAGGGGGCACTTGTTTGGAAACGGGAAGACGTCGCGAAGCAGGCTGATGTCTCTTCTCGGTATTGGGTGATCAAGGATGAGAAGATTTACGACCTGACAGATTACTTCTACACCCTCAAGATGATGAACAACATCGACACCTACAGCTTTTTGCCAAGCAGCATCACGGAACTGGTCAAGAGCAACCCTGGCACGGACGTCACGGACAAGTGGCCGAATACGACAGAAACTCGAGAGGCTCAGAAGTGTCTCGACTACGTGTTCTACAAAGGCAAAGTGGACTTCCGTGACAGTCCTAGATGCACAGTTAACAACTGGATTATGCTGGCGTTTGCCATTCTCATTTGTAGCGTCATCCTGATCAAGTTTTTGGCCGCCCTCCAGCTTGGATCGAAGCGTCGTCCCGCCCCGCAGGATAAGTTCGTCATTTGCCTTGTACCTGCGTACACTGAGGGCGAGGATGCGTTGCGCAAGGGTCTCGACTCCCTCACTGCTCTCCAGTATGACAACAAGAGGAAACTCATCTATGTCATCTGTGATGGTATGATTGTTGGTGGCGGTAATGATCGCCCAACGCCCAAGATCGTCCTTGACATTCTAGGTGTGGACCCTAAGATCGATCCGCCTGCGTTACCGTTCAAGTCCGTGGGCCAGGGAAGCGAACAGCTCAATTATGGCAAGGTTTACTCCGGTCTCTATGAGTACGAGGGTAACGTTGTGCCATATGTCGTCGTCGTGAAGGTCGGAAAAGAGTCGGAGCAAAACAAAGCCAAACCCGGAAACCGTGGTAAGCGTGACTCGCAGATCCAGCTGCTCGGCTTCCTGAACCGGGTGCATCACCGTGCTCCGATGTCGCCTCTGGAGTTAGAAATCTTCCACCAGATCAACAACGTGATTGGAGTGGATCCTGAATTGTATGAGTATGTTCTGATGGTCGACGCCGATACGAGCGTACGAGAGGATTCCTTGAATCGGCTGGTTGCTGCGTGTGCCAATGATGCGCGCATCGCCGGTATTTGTGGTGAAACTAGTCTTCAGAATGAAGAGCGCAGCTGGTGGACAATGATCCAGGTTTATGAGTACTATATCTCTCATCATCTGGCCAAGGCTTTCGAATCGCTCTTCGGCAGTGTCACCTGTCTTCCTGGATGGTAAGTGGCAGACCCCAATCCCGCCTACTCGTTTATTTGATAACTGACTGCGTCCGTAGCTTCTGCATGTATCGACTGAGAACTGCAGACAAGGGTCGTCCGTTGATTATCTCGGATAAAGTTCTCAAAGAGTACGCCGACAACGATGTGGACACCCTTCACAAGAAGAATCTGCTTTCGTTGGGTGAGGATCGTTACTTGACGACCTTGATGACGAAACACTTCCCTACTATGTCTTATAAGTTCATTCCCGATGCCTACGCTAGCACCGCGGCCCCGGAGACATGGTCTGTGCTTCTCTCGCAGCGACGGCGCTGGATCAATTCCACCATACACAACTTGGCGGTACTGGCGGCTTTGGAAGATCTTTGCGGTTTCTGCTGCTTCAGTATGCGATTCGTCGTTCTCGTCGATCTGATAGGAACGGTCATCCTTCCGGCTACCTGTGTCTACATTGTATACCTGATCTATCGCGTTGCCAGCCACACTGGACCCTTCCCTCTGATCTCGATCATTATGTTGGCTGGTGTGTACGGACTCCAGGCGATCATCTTTATCGTGAAACGCCAGTGGCAGCACATCGGTTGGATGATCATCTACCTCTGTGCCTATCCCATCTACAGTTTCGTTCTCCCTCTGTATTCCTTCTGGAAGCAGGATGATTTCAGTTGGGGTAACACCCGTGTTGTCATTGGGGAGAAAGGATCTAAGCGTGTTGTTGCTGTGGAAGACGAAGGCTTTGATCCTCGCAGCATCCCTCTCCAGCGATGGGACGACTATGCTCTTGCCAACAATCTGCCAGGCCGCCGTGGCGACTTTGCCATGGGCCAGGAGAAGGTGTACGGAGGTCGCTTTATGGATGATATGACGATGGAGATGGACGATATGCATTCGCAGTACTCGTCCGTGAAGCCCGCTTCAACGATCTTGACCGGGTTCCCTGGCCATGGCCGGAACGTCAGTCCCTACATGCCGCCTCAATCTCCCGGCCCGTACGCCAATGTGCCAGGCAACAGACACTCCCACATGTCGAGCTTCACGCGATACACCGACCAACCTTTCCTGGGCCACGCAGGACCCCAGGCATCTCGTAATATGTCGATGGGCAACGTCAGCCAGTTCCCCGAGAGTGTGGTGGGCGGTACCAACCGGCATAGCGTTGGCATGATGCAGAGCACCGATAATCTCCTCGGCGTGCCGCGACCCAGCTCTCGAAGCCCGGTTGGCGGTGCTGCTAGCGGATTTGCATCTCGACCCCACAGTGCATTTGACTTCCGCAGTGGCAGCGGTCCGGATGAAATGGCGATTACGGAGGCCATTCGCGCATGCCTGGCGGAGGTTGACTTGGACACCGTGACGAAGAAACAAGGTAAGCCCGACTAAATCAGATAGGAGCGTTTAAGCGATAAAGATGCTGACTGGTGAATAGTTCGTGCATTGGTTGAGCAACGACTTCAGACGACTTTGACGGGAGAAAAGCGTGCGTTCCTGGACCGGCAGATTGATACCGAGCTGGCCAACATGTAATTTGATCCATTTGATGTTTTGCTTGGTCTTTGATTGGAACGTTTAATCCGGCCATACATATTATCGTTGTGGGATATTTCACCGAACATGTTGTGATTTCGGGGGCATGTGGCAGGCGTTTTGGTAGCATTTACTCCAGCGATTCAGTTGTGTATGTAATAGTGAGAATGGAGTGTGATATGCAAGATTATATCATGAGTTGACTGGCCTATTCGATATTGACTACGCTGAGGGGCTTCACTTGTAAGATGATGCCATTCCTGGCTACATTGGCCTTTTTGCTTGAGGTTCCCTTGCCTGATCGTCCAAGTATCTCAGGAAGATGAGTCCGTTCTAGAAACTGGTACATTGATGTCAGCGTTTCTATTCACCTCAACGACGAAAGCTCCTAGATTATAAGCAATCAGTTGGGCCATGTCCAAGTTGCTGCGCAGTAGCATACATCGTATTGGACTTTTTCCTGCTTTGTTCCTTCACTCTGGACATGCATTCACCCATCAGCTGTGAAGAGATCTGAAAGAAAACGACAACGTCCATTCAAGGGGCCGCAGCCAGAGTGAAGGACACACAGACCTAGTGTGTATAAATATCCCCTCATCTTTTCTTCCTGGCCCTATCCTGCTTTCCTACCTCACCATCCACAGAACTTTGGTTATCGCCCCTATCACGACACTCCTCGGAACCGCCTCTTGCTTCACTGCCGTACTCTGCTTGCAGATATTTGATCCTCCCTGCGCAGGATCACAGGATTACATTCAGGTAGGTGAGGGACTAGCTTTCGCTTGTGTATTTGGATCCTTACTAATGGCTCCTAGGCTCCTCTCCATGATTCCAGTGGAAGAAGCCTCCGGGGAGAGGAGTATATCAAGAAGACTAGAGAGATTGGTGGCCCACTTGCCCGGGGTCTGCGTATGGTCACGGCTACCGCTCCAGCGTTTCTGGGTACTTGTAAGGCCCTGTCGATGGACCCCAAGATCTCGACTCTAGATGAGAATTTGGGCTCCCGGTCGTGCTAGTTACGCCTTTGGCAGGTTACAGGGCTCGCCTAGATACAGAGAAGGCTGTCTCGGTTAGCTGTAACGGTGCCTCAAGCCGAGCAAGCTGTCATGAAGGCGGCAAGTGCCTTGTTACCAAGGCCGGTGAGCCTGTTGATGTAGCTCACATTTACCCTTTCCCCTAAGGGGCCGGGAAGGACAGAAGCAACAGCACGTGTTTTGAGGCCAGATTATGCTGTTTGAAGACCTCCAGGGAGCGGCAACGGTGCGCAGCCAGTTGGAATCCACCGATCTGGGATTTGGCTACTTTTATCAGCATACGTCTCGAGATCCCGCGCGCCTGTAACCCATCGACGCAGCGGAGGTCGCGTTCTATTTAGCCCAGGCCTCTCCGCGTCTGCGGCTGCTCGCCAGAATCATGGCAGAGGAGGGCCGCGGCTCTAGTTTGCGATTACATTGATGTACATCAATTTTCATGACCGCATGGCCTTTAAGTGCGTTCTACAACAGATCTGGGCGATTTACGACAATCTGAAGCTCTTCTGGTTGGATGACATCGTCATGGCCTGGAGAGAGGCCGTGCTAGGGCCTGAAGGCACAGAGACGGTAAAGTCTTTCTTCCCACGTCCACAGGCTCTGGTTTTTGAATCCTTGCAGCCCTTCCAGGACTCGCAAACGACCTATGACATACCTACTGTACGACCCTTTTATCCCGGACAGAACTGGCTGTGTACTGGTGAAGAAAATCGGAGAAAAAGCTAGGCCTGCAGGGTAGGTTCATTTTTTGTCATCAAGGGAACGAATGAAACGAATCGAAAGCACACGACAAGAGAAGAAGAAAGACGTCGCAAGAACAAATAAAGCGGGACACGGATACTTCACCGTGATATAGTCAAATATCTCATCGTCTGTTTCGGCATCCTGCGTCATATTTGGTGTTGGAAGGTAGTTTATAGAGCTTCCTTTATCACCCGCATAGTGAATATATATAGTTCCCAATTGAACGATGAACAACAGTTGGGAGTTCCGTCTGCCGAAACCAAGATATACGAAGTAAATATCATCCTTTCTTCCTTACGCCTCTATGTACAGAGTCCTTGTTGATGCCCTCAAAGGGTGTTTTTGTGTCTATATAAGCTAGCTCAATGGGATATGCTCCGGCTGTGAGAGGAGACCGGCGTATCTGGAGGTTGCGGGCTATGCTTTGCTCCTTATTTTCTTGCAAGACCCCTCAACCGGTAGCTTGTATATAAATCGAGTATTTTTTTGCTAATGGAAAAATTCTATGGGTTCACCGTGTTGATCTTTTCTGTTCAGAAACCCGATTGTAGTAGATGGTTGCAGGCTCCCAATTCTGCCACCGCCTCTGGAACTGTATGCTCATGATCGTGTCGGGGATCGAACGAACCAAAGGATATATCGGATGCCCTCGCGTCTCCTCGCGACGTCCGATCTACCGCCCTCCCAACAAACAACCAACTGCGCCATGGATTGAACATGGCGACCATCAAGGCTATCGAGGCCCGTTCGGTACGGATCTCGCATCAGAATCACCACACCTCTCCCACCACTGACGCACCACGCATAGGTTCACCAGATCCAATCTGGTCAGGTCATCGTCGACCTATGCTCCGTTGCCAAAGAGCTGGTCGAGAACAGTCTAGATGCCGGCGCAACATCCATCGGTATGCTCCGGGCGCATCCATTCCGAACCTGGAGCTAACAGCATTATCTACAGAGGTTCGGTTCAAGAACAGCGGCCTGGATGCGATAGAGGTACAAGACAACGGGAGTGGCATTTCACGCGACAACTACGAGAACATCGGTAGGCTTCTCTTCACCTCGTCTCAGCGAGTTGCATCTTCTAATTCGTTGGGTTTAATCCGTCGGCAGCTCTCAAGCATTACACCTCCAAGCTCTCCTCCTTCGACGACCTCTCCCGCCTCAACACCTTCGGCTTCCGCGGCGAAGCCCTATCCTCCCTATGCGCGCTTGCCGACTTCCACATCGTCACCGCTCAAGCCCACGAGGCCCCCAAGGCCAACCGTCTGGAATTCGAGCCGTCGGGAAAGCTGAAGCGAACCCAAATCGTGGCCGGCCAGAAGGGCACCACCGCGTCCGTGGAAGGGATATTCAAGCGACTCCCCGTGCGACGACGGGAGCTGGAAAAGAACATCAAGCGCGAATATGGGAAAGTGCTGAACCTGCTCCACGCCTATGCCTGCGTGAGCACCGGCGTCCGCTTCAGCGTCAAAAACACCGTGGGCAAGACACGGAACGTGGTGGTGTTTTCGACAAAGGGTAATCCGACGACGAAGGAAAACATCGCCAACGTCTACGGCGCGAAGACGCTTCTCGCGCTGATCCCGCTGGACCTGACGCTAGAGTTTGAGCCCTCCGTGGCTGGCCGCCGGGCGTCTGCTGGGGAGGCACTCAACCAGATTCGTGTGCGAGGCCATGTATCCCGCCCGGTGTTTGGTGAAGGACGGCAGACGCCTGACCGGCAGATGTTCTTTGTCAACTCGCGACCCTGTGGGTTGCCCCAGATCGCGAAGGCGTTTAACGAGGTGTACAAGTCGTTCAATGTGTCGCAGTCGCCGTTCGTGTTTGCGGATTTTCATATGGATACCAACGCGTATGATGTCAACGTCTCCCCCGACAAACGGACCATTCTGCTGCATGACGCTGGGGCCCTGATTGAATCTCTTAAAACTTCTCTCACAGAGGTGTTCGAGTCTGCAGATCAAACCGTGCCTCAATCTCAGGTCTCTGGCGCAAAGCAACCAGGGAGTAAACCTAATTCAACATTATTTCAGAGCTTCCTGGCCAGCAAACACGCCCCTGAAGAGACGCCTGCGGATGGCGACGGATCTGGTGTTGCAGACGAGATCGGGAGTAGCCAGGCTAGCTCTCATGGTCGAATGAAGAGCTTCCTCAGTGACCTTGGCTCCCGTCCAGGCCAAGCAGATACAAAGTCTACCCCTGCTCATGTCGACACATCAACCCAGGAGAGCCAGCCTATGTCTCCGCCTACAGTGTCACAGGATGATGCCGAGACGGAAGTTGAGGTGCGAACCCCTGCCCAAGAGACCAATGCGTTTCGAGAAGCAATTCCCGAAGAAGGGATCTACGAGCCTGATGAGGATATCACGGAGCCTAGACCAGGGCTTGATGAGGGTGAAACCAACGTCCCTCCCAGCAGTGCTCCATCAAGTCAAGAGCTCTCTACACACGGCTTGGACTCATCGATGGAAACTCAGAACGTTGTACAGAATGCATTCGATCGAATGAGGCCTAGACGGGCACCGGCTGAGGTGGCTACAATTACCATCGGCAACAAGATCATCACGTCTATGGTGGGAAGCGGCGTTCCAAGGAAACGGGACGCGGCGACTGTTGGTATGAGTAATACTACGAGTCGGAAGAGACGTATCCACACACCCTCTCGGCCTAACATTTTTGGCAAGCATATGCGGGACTTTGCAGCCCCTGGCTCTCAAATGCAGGCAGACGATGACAGCGAAGAGGGCGCAGAGGATGAGCCTGAGAGTCAACAGGGAGACGATGCTGTCAGCGAAGAGGAGATTGAAGAACCTGATGACGGATCCCAGTCATATGCTCCCTCGGACGATCACGGCGTCCCTGATAATACTCCGCCAGAGCCTCAAGAGGGCGAGGCCAGCGACGAAGAGCAAGAAGTAGAGAACTTGCCACCTCCTGTTGAGACAAATATGGGCGAAGAGGAGAAAAAGAAACACGATGAAGCCGAGGTTCAACGACTGATCCAACAGGCAGAAGAACAAGCTTCCCTGCCACAGGGCAACAATGTGAACCGTGCCAACAAAATGAACAAAGGAGCGTATCATCGTGACTCTACAGTCCAGCTGGTCAGCACCATGGACGGGTCCGTATCCCGAGTTCAGTCCCTAATGGGGAAGCTTCAAGAAAGCGCCCGCTTGCCAGGGAGGATTGGCGGGGATGAAGAGGATGCTACTGGGTCTCAAGAGACTGCTGAAGAGCGTCTGTCGTTGACGGTGTCAAAGGATGATTTTGCCCAGATGCGGATTATCGGTCAGTTTAATCTCGGGTTCATTCTAGCGACACGGTCATCGAGGGACAGCTCCAACTCAGCAATATCTGCTTCCAAGGACGAACTTTTCATCATCGACCAGCACGCCTCCGACGAGAAATTCAACTTCGAGCGACTCCAAGCGGAGACGGTGGTGCAAAACCAGCGTCTTGTCCAGCCAAAGCGGCTTGATCTGACCGCCGTTGAAGAAGAGATCGTCATCGAGAACCAGGCTGCCTTGGAGAAGAACGGGTTCATCGTCGAGGTCGACGATAGTGGAGACGAGCCCATCGGCCGTCGATGCAAGCTGGTTTCTTTACCCCTGAGCAAGGAGGTCGTGTTCGGAGTCCGGGATCTGGAGGAACTGATCGTTCTACTGTCCGAGATGCCTGCCACCGGCACGACTGGCGGTGCATCCGACAGATATGTCCCGCGTCCGAGCAAGGTGCGGAAGATGTTTGCAATGCGCGCGTGTCGTTCCAGCATCATGATCGGCAAGACCTTGACAACCAAGCAGATGGAACGAGTGGTGAGGAATATGGGCACGATTGACAAGCCATGGAACTGCCCGCACGGTCGACCCACGATGAGGCATTTGATGAGTTTGGGGCAATGGAACGAATGGGATGAGTTCGCAGCGAACTACGATGACAGGGAGACCGATGATGATCGGACAGACGGTCTAGAGGTTTGGAGAGATTATTTCAATGAAATGGCTCCTGATGATGAAGACGACGACGACCAAGTCGAATTATAGAGCTGGCTCTTTGTCTTTTCTTTTGGATACCAACTACCCATTAGCAATCGATTTGTCTCCAACGTTTCTATGACTGTCTTACAGCTCGGCGGCGCATCCGAGCTCCCCACTGTCGTGTCCGCTTGGAGTATTCGGGATCGGCATCCGAGCCTGGATTAATCCTCGTGAGGGGTTGCATCCAGCAGCAGGAATGGCCCCTATGCAGGTCATTCCTTTTTCTTCAAAAGGACCCTACCAATTGGACACGCTCGAGGGATGGAGATAGAAGAGGGGCGTCGAATGATGCTTCGGTGTCCCCTCCCGAGTCGACAGTCAGAGCGCCGACTATATAGCACGCTCACCACCACCGACCACACTGCATCTCCCAGACAATAGCTTGCCCACGATGCGGACTCTGACTCTTTCGCAATCGACGCGCGCCGTAGCTCTTCACACTTCCAGCCGGAGGGTTGGCGGGCCTACCCTCTCCCGATATCTCAGTCTCTGGCAACCCCCGAAGTTTGTCAATGAGCAGCCGGTAATTGAACTATCCTCTTTTACCTTCGTCTCGTACTGATAAAAGCAGTTGGACTATGCTAAAGGATCCCCCGAACGGGCCAAGCTGACCCAAGCCCTTGAGAAGCTCAAGGGTGAGCTGCCAGTCCAAGTGCCCATTCAAATCAGTGGTTCGACGGTCAGTCCCATCATCTCCACGAACAATGAGAGAAGGAAACCAACACCAACAGGTTGCAACGCACGGATCGAGGAAACAAGAGAACCCCTCACGACACCGCGAGATCGTCGCTGAGTACGCAACAGCTGGCCCCGAGCAGGTCAACGCCGCGGTGGAGGCAGCCTTGAAAGCCAAACCCGCCTGGGAAGCCATGCCCTTTGAAGACCGCGCGGCCATCTTCCTGCGCGCCGCAGAACTCGTCACGGGCAAGTACCGCGCGGATATCGTCGCGGCCACGATGCTCGGCCAGGGCAAGAACATCTGGCAGGCGGAAATCGACGCCCCGGCGGAAACGGCGGACTTCTTCCGCTGCTACGTCCAAGAATGCTGGTCTCTCTACGGCCAGCAGCCCCGAGTCCAGGCCGAAGGCACCTGGGGCAAGCTCGAATACCGGCCGCTGGAAGGCTTCGTCTACGCCGTCGCGCCGTTCAACTTCACCGCGCTGGGCGCGACGCTCGTCGGCCCCGCCGCGCTCCTGGGCAACGTGGTGATCTGGAAGCCGTCCGACAGTGCCCTGCACGCCAGCTGGCTGCTCCACAGGATCCTCCTCGAGGCAGGCCTCCCCAAGGACGTCATCCAGTTCCTCCCCGGCGACGCCGAGGTCGTCACCAACACCCTCCTGCAGCGCCCGGAGTTCGCAGCGCTGAGCTTCATCGGCTCGACGCAGGTCTTCAAGGGCCTGCAGAAGAAGATCGGCGCCGGCGTCGGGCAGGGCATCTACAACTCGTACCCGCGGGTGGTCGGCGAGACCGGCGGCAAGAACTGGGGGCTCGTCCACCCGTCCGCGAACATCAAGAACGCGGTGCTGAACACCATCCGCGCCGCCTTCGAGTACCAGGGCCAGAAGTGCTCGGCCAACTCGCGGCTCTACGTCGCCGAATCGGCCTGGCCCGAGTTCAAGCGGCTCCTTCAGGCGCAGCTGAGCAAGCTGACCGTCGGTCCCGTCGACGAGTACAACCACTTCGTGAACGCGGTGATCCACGAGCGCGCCTACGACCGGCTCGCTGAGGTGCTCCACGCCGCCAGGTCGGACCCCGAGCTCGAGCTCGTCGCCGGCGGCCACGCCTCCAAGGATGAAGGCTACTACGTCCACCCGACCGTGTACCGCACGACGAACCCGCGCCACGACCTGATGCAGCGCGAGCTCTTCGGCCCCATCCTCACCGTCTACGTCTACCCCGACCACGACTGGGAGTCGACCCTCGACCTGGTCAACACGACCTCGCCGTACGCGCTGACGGGTAGCATCTTCGCCACCGACGTCGCGGCCACCCGCCAGGCGCAGACGGCGCTCAAGCACGCCGCCGGCATGCTGTACATCAACACCAAGTGCACGGGGGCGGTGGTGGGCCAGCACCCGTTCGGGGGCAGCCGCGACTCCGGCACGAACGATAAGACGGGCACGATGGCGCATCTGCAGCGGTTCGTGAGCGTGCAGACGATCAAGGAGGAATTTACCGAGTTGGATCGCGTGGAATATCCGTCAAATGAAGTATAGTATAGTATAGTATTGTAAATAAATCCAATCGATGTCGCATACAACACAAGAACAACCTCCCTCCACCAAATATCCCCAAATACAAGAAACAATCCCAAATATACTACCTATATCACCACCACCCAAACCACCCCTTCTTAGGCGGCATCGCATCCTTCAAGCTCCTATTCTCCTCCACTGCCCCATTCCCGTTCACTACGAGCACATCATCATCATCATCATCACCGTCTGCATTCGTCGTCGTCGTCGTCGTGCCCCCGCGCCGCCGCCGCTCCTCCCGTGCATGATGCGCCCGCTTATTCTCCTCCTCTTCCTCGCGCTCCTCGGCCAGCCGCACCGTCTCCTCGATGACCAGCAGATCGCGCTCGATCAGCTCCGCCCAGTTCTGCACGTCGCCAATCTCCTTCAGCCCGTCGCGCGCCTGGTCCGCCACCTTGGCCAGCTGGTCGTTCTGCTTGGCGAGCGCGCTTGTCGCCCGCTGCACGTCGCCCTCCTGCTTGTCGAGGGCGGCGGCGTTCTCGTGCAGATTGCGCGCGCGGTCGCGCAGGTCGGCCTCGTAGTTGGCGCCGACGGAGCGGAGGGACGCTTCGAAAGCTGCTTTAGCCTCGGCCGTACGCTGGGGCGAGGGGATGTTGTTGTCTGGTGGGGAGTTGTGGATCGAGTTGGTAGACATTTTGGATGGCTGTTATCTATCACTTTATCTGGGAGGTTGAAGAAGTTATCTACGGAAGGAGTATCATTTTACTTGCAGCCCTCATTGTCCCACTAGTCCTGTAGGGCGCCACGTGGCTCCGTACATCTTTGGGATCAACTGGTTGAGGTCACTACAGTGCGGAGATCTGAGTGTCGACTCTTCCCAGATGAGTGTAGACAGTACCTGGTAATCAGTCTTGTTGTAGCGCCACGTTAAGGTCACGCTAATAGATGAAGGAAACTAATGAAAGACAGGACATGCTATATAACCTCCCGAGAGATCAATCCTCTATGATAACCAGACTTTGCTCTAATACGGACCCCAAAGATACCGTGCTCATGAGGGTATTATAAAACGAAAGGAAAAGAATAATTGCTGACAAGACTCCAACCCGATCGACCGGTCGATCAACACCCCGAAATCAAGCAAGACGATCGTGCTCGATCTTCTTGCGAACCGCATCGTGGACGCGTTTTTCGCGCATGATACTCCACAGGCAGACCAGAATTCCAGCAACTCCAGAGAAGAAGGTGGTGTAGTATGCCGACTGGTAGCAGGTTAATCCATCAGGACAATCGCGGTCGCCATCGGGGCCGACAACCGAGTGTCGATCGTAAATGCTTCCGTAGAGTAGGTTGAACACGTTGCCGCTTAGCACGGGAGCTAGGGTCATTGCACCCCAATTCTGCGAAAGACCGCCGATACCGAACGTGTGGGCGACCAAGGATGGGAAAACACCGAAGAGGAAGCCGTAAGCAACACCAGTGAAGCCCGAGACCACCACCAACTGATGTGGGTTGGAAATCGCCGCGCCAGCCAGCTGCGTGACGGTGAAAACCACTGAAGAGATGAACAAGCACCAGAAGCGGGACATGTCAAGCTTCTTGACAAGCACGTCAGACCCAATCCCTGGGGATCGCTTGTCAGTAGGGTTCAACCAAACACTTCAGAGTGTTCACGTACCACTCGATAGTCGCCCGATGAAGTTGCCAAAGGATAGAATGGATACATGCATCACCTGTCGCTGTTGTATAAACTTGTCGCTCGCGCTATCGTCGTAATGGTTCCACAATGCTTTGGCCTGTATGAATTAGTATCACACCACAAGCCTCTTACACACGCAGTCTTACAGTGTTTCCAATATTGCTGATCCGAGAGTTAGCCCCAACATATCTGTACATCATGTGGGTTTGGAAACTCACTTGATAGTCATCAACCCGATTCCAGACAGGAGCGCCATGGTGAGGAATAGCTGCCAGAACTCCACTGTAGGAAGCATCGCGAATCCCCTGATATCTGGGTGGGGTGATTCAAGTGCAATATCAGACATGTCGTCATCATCATGAAAATCGTGGTCATGCTCATGGAAAAGATCCAGGGATTGTCTGGAGGTTTTGGAGACCAATGATGACGTCTCATCATGCTCTGACTTGTGGTGGCTAGACGGGTGGGAATTCGACACGACGGAATGCGACCGTACATGTGCCGGAGTGCGAACTTCAAAGGCAGTAGAACTCTGTGCCGCTGCTTCGTCAGTCGCATGGGGAAGGGAACGAGGATCGGGAGATCTGGTCCGGCGCAGTCTCCTAGATTCTACGCCGGGCGATCGGTTTCGGCCGATTGGGATGTAAGGATCACTGAGGGTAATGATCCGAAGGAACGGAATGGACACCAGATTCAGGACAGATGTTCCTATTGCCAGCAGTAGGAGAAAATCTCCGGTATCATCTTTGAACAGGATCGACGAGAGGGTCGACCAGAAGAAGGCGCTCAAGCCAAAGGCCGCAAGAGGAAATGCAGTTGCGGTGCCCCGATGGTCTGGAAAGTTTGACGCGGCTATAGGGGGAGATTAGTATGGAAACCAGGGAATCACTCGAACTTGACGTACCCGTCTTGATCGAAGCTGAAAAAGCAGAGCAGCTACCGAATCCTGTGAAGAAAGAGAAGAACGCCAGCAAACCCACACTGAGCGAGCCTTGTCCTTTTTCGTAGGCTATACTCGTGCATTTGAGTTAGTACGCAATAAGGCCCACATCCACCGGAGCGAAAGCCGAGACGCACCGGAGTATAGAGGGAAATAGCCAATGGCGAGAGTGATGGCACCCAGGAAGGTGGTGAGCCTGGGACCCCGGGCATCTGTTAACAAGCCCATGGGAATACCCGACGCGTACATTCCCAGATTGCCAGCCGCACCCTGGAACCGATGTATGAGTATCTATTCCGTTACCGAGGGAGATGAAGCAGCGCATACAATGAAATTGCTAGCCGTGGACGAGATCTTCATGCGACGGGCGAATTGAGGGCCCCATGCCGAGTATGCATACTGGAAACAAGTTAGCAGGGGTGGCTCGCATTCGATTGACAGGTGGAAGGCAGTCGCACGTTGGTACCGCAGGCGAGGGCGACTAATGTTGCTGCTATCACGGAGACCATCCGTGTCTTTTTATGAGAGTCGGACATGGCCGGGGGATGAGGTGCGTGCTGCACCGAGGAGGACTCGAGACGAGAGATTCACATATATCGGGACGGAGAAGGCGGGGGAAGAAGTGGAGATGGGATGTTTGTCGTCGTAAGGATTGCGAAAGAGCGAGGATCGTTAGTGTTATTTGGTCGGGAAATCGGACAAATGAGTTTGGGAGTGGATAAGCTCTTATCACCGAGGGGGAAGGTCCGACAGCGGAGAAGCCGGAGGGAGGAGGTGAAGAGAAGAGAAAAGGAAAGGAGTAAGAA